GGCTACACCGGCTGCTCAAAGCAGGACGCGCGCCCGCGCGGTGCGGGCGCCGCCGCCAACGGCGGCTGCCGGCCGGCCAACAGGCCGGTTCGGCCACCTAAGCGTGTCCGGCCCCAATTTTTTGCCCGGACGGTCCAAATTGGACATTTTTGGGCTCTCCGGACACGTTTTTCAATGTTCTGGACTCAATTTTAACACTTTCGTGGCTCAACGAGGCCTTTATGATAACATTTGAGCAATGTTTTGACTTTTGGAACGTAATTTTTTCCATTTTGCCCCATATGAAATGTCGACACATATATTTTCGGACTTATGGAGCATCGACGTCCGAAAATAGGGGGGCAACTGATACGTCGTCAAAATATTATCTTAATTGGGCGCAAATCTCGATACAAAATCAAGTCGGAAACTTTCGAAATTAATTCGGAGACCATCTCAACTCCGATTTTTGCAAACTTATAGTCGAACTGAGCATCTCAGAAATATGAACCCAACGACACCAAATTCGACTCAATCCGATCCAGAATCGGTCCAAACCTTGGACCCGAAGCGATGTTGGAAGGTTCGAACCACAATTTGGATTAACAAACGATTTCCAAACATAACAAGCTTATACTCGAATCGAGCGGCTCGATGAGACAAATCCAACGAGCCCAAAATCACTGAATTTCGACATCACTAAGACATTCAAATGTCCATCAAACGGTTCATGATTAAGGGATTCAACATCGACCGTCCATCCAACCACTCCCCATTTACCCTTGATCTCTCACCTATTTACGGGTCATGACATTCCCAAAATCTATAAATAGATCTCCCTCTCCTCTTGAAAAAAGGAACCCTGAAGCCTAAGGAAAAAAGAGAGAGATCGGAGATCGTTCTTGCTTCCTTGCCTCCTCGAAAATCGCAGGGCTTCTGCCGGACCACCGCTCGACGCCCTGTGCTCCGCCGGATCACCACCTGAGGCCCTCACCTCCGCCGGACCACCTCCTGACGCTGCTGCTCCGTTGGACCACCACTTGAGGCCCTAACCTCCGCCGGACCACCGCCTGACGTCGTTGCTCTGCCGGACCACCACTTTAGGCTCTCACCTCCGCCGGACCACCGCATGACGCCGTTGCTCCGCCGGACCACCACTTGAGGCTCTCACCTCCGCCGAACCACCGCCTGACGCCGTTGCTCCATCGGACCACAGCTTGACGTCGTTGCTCCGCCAGACCACCTCCTGAGGCCCGGACTTCTTCCGGACCACCACTGGAGGGCCTTACCTCCACCGGAGCACCTCCTAACGCAATTGCTCCATCATACCACCACCTGAGGCCCAGACTTCTTTCGGACCACCACTTGAGGCCCTCACCCCTGCCGGATCACCGCCTGACGTTGTTCCTCCGCCGGACCACCACTTGAGGCCCGGGCTTCTACCGAACCACCACTTAGGGCCCGCACTCCACCGGACCACCATCTTACACACGAATTTTTACCAAAGTATTGCCTTGCCGACTATGGTCCTCCTGACCTCCATCGCCTATTACGGTCATTCCGATCTCCATCATAACACAATGGTCTTTCTGACCTCTGTCTCTTGCCAACAATGGCCCTTCCAACCAAACAAACATGTCTATGTTGATTATTGTAACAATGTAATACATTCTATATGACGTACATTTGTAACATCAAGCTAAGGCCTTCTCCCTAAGAAGGGCCTCATTTGTAATCGACTACAAATACTAGTGGATTCATTTAAACTGGGCCGGGCCCCATGGTTTTTCCCCCTTTTCAGGGGTTTTCCACGTAAAAATTCTGGTGTCTCTTATGAACACTACATCCTCTCATTTATCTGATTGTGTGCTGGATCTTCGTACAATGCTAAGACGTTAAACTATATATTTCTCTATCGCCGCGAATATTCCAGGACGCAACAATATCTATAATCAATATTGTGAATCAGTAACATTAACAATAATAGTGAATCAGAAGTAGCATCAACAACAATTCAATAACAGTATTGCTGATAGTGTTGGTATTAGTAAATCTTGTAGAAGTAACAATAAATCAATACTACAACAGTAATCCGTATAGTGATAATAAATCAATACAATATCGGTAAAATTGTATAACAATAATAAATATATAAATGATATATTCTTCAAAAATTATTTTGATCAATCACGAATCTCGAGGCAAAATCGAATCGGAAACTTCAAAAATTAAATCCGGAAGCATCTGAACTCCGATTTTAGCGAGCTTACAGTCAAATTGAGTGTCTCGAAAATACGAACTCAACGACACCAAATTCAACTAAATCCAAGCCCAAATGAGCCCAAATCAAGTGCCCGAAGTGCTGTTGGAAAGCTCACACCACAATTTGAGTTACCAAATGATCTTCGATTTTGACGAGCTTATAGTCGAATTGAGCGGCTCGACGAGACGAATCCAACAAGCTCAAGTTCGCCAAATTCCAACATCACTAAGACCTTCAAATGTCTGACAAAAGATGCACGATCAAAGGATTGAATATCAGCCGCCCATTCGACCACTCCCTATTTGCCCCTGATCTCACACCTATTTACGAGCTATGCCACTCCAGAAAAACTATAAATAGAGCCATCATTTCTCATAAGAGGGGACTCAAGCAAGAAGAAGAGAAGAATAAGAGAAGGAGAGGGATAAATAGCTCCTCCTCGACCACCGCCGGAGTTCTTCCTGCCGCCTGAATAATGCCGGAATTCTGCCGGACATACGGGTGACGCTGGAACTCTACAGAACTTTGTAGTTGAATCTCAATTTAAGAGAAATTCATTGTAATCTGATATTCTTAACTTGGCGGACGAATCAGTCTCTTGTATCTCAAACAAAACACTAGTGGAATCATTTCAACTAGGCGAGGCCTCGTGATTTTTTCCCTTTTTTAGAGTTTTTCACGTAAAAATCCTAGTATTCTTTTATCTTCTGTTTGTGTATGCTAGATATTCGTACAACGCTCAGACAAAAATTTTCTAACTCTACCACCGCGTATATTCTAGTCCGCAACAATAATATATATTTTAATAGTCATACTAAACAAGTAAAAAAGTTCTGACTATCGCCATATTTTTTAGTAATAGGTATCTTATCACTAATACAATCGTACATTTTATTCAACCATATATCATTCACTTATGCAATGAGATGTCATTTCAATTAATCATTTAAAAAAAATATTGCTAGTTGAACTCTGAGGTTATTTTCAGTCCTCCAAATATTGTAAGTTGTACACTCACTGCATCACTTGGTGGGCGACGTAAGTTGGAAGTATCGTAGTCAGCAGGCGACGGATGTCATAAAAACCTCTTTCTAACGATGGAGGTCAGAAGAACTGTAGTCGGGAAGAAATCGAATGATGGACATAAGTCTAGTGTTGGATAGAAGTCCGACAAATATCCGGTGACGGGTAAAAGTCTGACAGAATTTTGGTGTCGGACAGAAGTCCGGCGTCAGGCAGGAATCCGACGACGGGTGGAAGTCCGGTGTCAGGTAGAAGTTCGACGTCTATCGGCGGTTGGGTGAAAATTTGGCGGTGGTCGAGGAGGAATTCTGCCTGGAGTTTCGGCGTCACTTGATAGTAGGGCGGAGCTCCGACGTCACTTGAAAGTTGGGTGGAACTCCGACGTTACTTGAAAGTCATGTGAAACTCTTGCATCACTTAAAAGTCACAGATGAAACTCCGGCGGTGGTCGAGGAGGAGCTTTTTTCCTCTTCTTCTCTTCTCCCCTTTTCCTCCCCTCCCCTCTTAAGAGAAATAAGGGGCTATTTATAGTTTTCTGATAGTGGCATGACTCGTAAATAGGGGGAGGATCAAGGGCAAACGTGGAGTGGTTTGGATGGACGACTAATATTGAATCCCTTGATCATGGACTGTTCGTCAGACATTTGAATGTCTTAATGATATTAGAATTCAACGATCTTGGGCTCGTTGGATTTGTATAGTTGTGCCGCTCGATTCGACTATAAGCAAATCATGATTTGAAACCGTTTAGTAATCCAAATTGTGGTTTGAACCTTTCAACATTGCTTCGGGTCTTCGATTCGAACCCATTTGGGCTCGGATTGAGTTGAATTTGGTGTCGTTGGGTTCATATTTCTGAGACGATCAGTTCGACTATAGGTTTGCTTAAATCGGAGTTCAGATGTTCCCAGATTTAATTTTTGAAGTTTTCAACTTGATTTTTGCCTCGAGATTCGTACCTTATCAAGATTTTTTTGATGATATATCATTAATCAATATATTAAGAAATATCCTCTGATTTTTACAAAATATTTAAAAATTATTTTGATCTAATTTTGAAAATATATTTAACATTAATTATATTTGATTATATTAAACATATGTCTAATTATTAAGCTATTAAAAATAATAATAATAAATAATTAAATATTCAAACTTAATTAAAAAAATTAATTATAAATATCTTATATTAAAACTTTCAAAATTCATAACACGTCAATGTAAAATTAAAAATTATTTTAAAATATTCAATATATTTAAAAAATTAAATATTAAATATTTAAATATCCAATTAATATTTAATTATATTTAAAATCAAATATTATTAAAACTAAAAAAAAATATTTTTCTCCCCCTCTTTTCCTTGTTTCTCTCTCTATCCTGCTTATTTTCACTCGCTCTTTGAGTTTATTTTATTTGACAAATTTATTTCTTTTTAAATTTTATATTTATTTCACATATTCCTCTTGCTAATTATAGGACTTAACGTGCTCCTTTCTAAAATAAACTCATATATATCTTCACATCAGTTGCTGAAATTACGCATTGAATCACCTTAATTACTCCTTGTATATTCCCAAAAAAATTATAATCATTATGATCATTTAAATATCATTGTATGTTTTTCTTAATTAAACAATCAACTAAAGAAAATTCAACAAACAGTGCATCAACACCAACAATAACATCATCAAATCAGAAACTCCAAAACGAAATCCTAAAGCTCCAAAATCAATCAGACAAACTTGTATTGCTCGTACCGGAGGCCGCAATCCCCGAGCTCAACCTGACCTCCAATCGCCAGTTTGCACCATATTGTCACTAAATCAACGGCCCATTCAAGGCAAGAGCGACAGTCGTGTGCAGTGAGGCTACCGGAGCACGAGCAGCGGCCATAGGCCGGGAAGCCTAGGACATCGTCGAAAATCATGTGGTAGTAGTTTTCACCGGGTTTGACCGACCCGAACTCGACCAAGTCGTTGAACAAGTGGTCAAGGTTAATGGCAAAGATGCCGTACGCGATGAACTTCTCGAGGTTGCAGACGGATGAACTCGCGCAGGCGGCGGGGAATGGTGTGGACGATATCAGTAAGAGGAGCAGCGCGGCGAGGAAACGGGGCTTCGGCATTAGAGCAAATTTCAAGTATTTGGCATCTGGTGATGGATTGGGTTAATTTCCTACTTATAAGAAGTTGAAGGTAAGGAGTAAACAATTTTGGGGTTCTCTCGGTTTAATTTTTTTAGGTCCTTTAAGATGATCACATAATGATAATTTTATTCCGGTGATGTATTATAATTAATATAAATGCAATTTAAGATAGAGTAAAATATTTATTTAATTTAGTGGAACAACTGTTACTTTTAATTAATATTAACTGTAATTTAAGATAGAGTAAAATATTTATTGAATTTAGTGGAACAACTGTTACATTTAGTGCTTGCCTGCTTCACAATGGATGGCCGGGAATTTTTAAATCTACAAATTTTTTTAATAGAAAAAATAACAAAAGATTAAAACTGACTTGTTGATCTTAATTTTATGCAGCAATTATGAGGTCTAATCAAGTTGAAATAATTTCTCCAGTATATATCATCAATTATAAATGATGTACTTTCTCATTATTGAGAATGGAGATACATATAGTAAATATAAACTATAAAAAATAGAATTTGTGATGAAAGTTAAAGAGCTTTGCAATATAGGAGTTGTCTTTAAAATTTCATTTAATATTTGTTTGATTTTTATCCTTTAAGGAGAGGATACTAAAGACCATGAAGTTTAGTATAAATTATGCTTTTGAAGTTGAAAGTTATAATTAATGTTGATAGTATGCATTGACCATAAAGGTAATGGCAAGCGTCGATTCTATTAGTGATGGCGAGCAAGAAAGTTCGTAAGAGTCAGTGTATTCGGAAAGTCAGACGATGATGATCAGAAGACAATATTAGAGTAATATTGATCAGATGATTGTATACGAGTGATGCTAGTTGAAAAATTGAAGTTGGGTGTCACTGATCCGAGGACTATAGTCCCATGTTGATGGTCGTAAAGTCGTAGTTTAATGATAGGAGTACAACGATGGTGGTCGAGCAATGGTTTGATGGTGGCGTTCAATCTATGCTCCAACAACAATGATGCTCGAGTAGAGATCAAGGACTCTTTATACCTCTAAACTCTCTTGAATCTCAAGCCATGGTCTCCCCTTCATGTAGAGAGTGGGGCCTATTGTAAGTTTTTTAATAGTGACATATACAGTAAACATACCCAAAATTCAGCGCATTCCATCAAATGACCAAAGTAAATCTTTTTATAATAGACAATTCTTTTAATATTTAAGTGTCTTATTTTTTTAATTCAAAAAAAGGTAGAAAGCGGTACAAGATGATCCGAAAATAAAAGTACATCAGATAAAGACCTAGAAATCAAAAGTATAACAATAAAAGACAGTTAAGGTTACAGAAGAAGATCCAATAGCAGACTCAGGTTAGTAGCTCCCAGCAACGACCCCGCAGCCAAGCACAGGCAGTCCATTGGTGACAAACACAGAAGATCAGCAGCCAAGACAACCACCAAGTAAAGGCTTACCACCAAGATTGCCAACAAGCCATGGCCAACAAGTTTATAAGCAGAGAGCAGCCTCATCATTTTCCAAAGCGCAAGAAAACCCACGACAAACGAAATGAAGATGGCAACCCAAAAGCTATTTCTTCTTAAATTTACTTTTACATTTTTTCCACCACCAAAGAAAATAAATTCATCATCCACATTGTCACCCATATCATTCGCAACAACCTCACAAGAAGTGGATATTTTCTCATCCATATCCAGCCAGTCATTTTGGACCAAAACTGATTTATTTGAAGACCAATCCAGATGAGCTTTTAATTTGATGTTAAACATAACACAAATAGAAATGTTCACACAATTCACAATACGAGTAGAGCCTGGCAAAACTGAGACAGCCACATCCACACCAGAAGGGTTATCATCCCTAGATCTAACAATTGAATTAGCCTCAACATCCGCACAAGAATTGCCTTTAGAAAATTCATTACCACTAATATTAACAACACAAGCACCTACCTCTATGTCAGCCAACACCTGACAATTTTGTTCAACATCCAAGATAGGAACCAAGTTACCAGCAGCAAATGACGGATCAACCCTAGCAACATTAGGACTACTTGTAACATTAGCAACAAGTAAGGAAGGGGAAGGCAAAGGATCAACAAGTAAATTCACAGCAGATTGGGGCAACAGAGAGGCTGGGGTAACAACTGGAACCACCACAGAAACATTATCCAAACGAGTTAAATAAGAGGATGGCGAGGCAAAAGGAGAAACAAAAGCAGACGGAATACCCCCATCACGAAGGCCAACCCCAACACCCTCATTAGCAGCATAAACCAATTTTTGCTCAACAAGTAAGGCAACTGCCACAGGATCCCCACCCTGAACAACAGTGGCACATGTATTTGAAACGAAAGGAAACTTGTCGTTACGCTTAGGTAGCAAAGCACCACATTCCAAATTCGAGTGATCAATAGACTTACAATTACCACAACATTTGGAGAAATCCTCCATTTCAACTAACTGAACATAACCAAGCTTATCCGGGCCAAGCTATATATGGTCCAGATAACCTTTGGTAATGTCAATCTCCACAAGCACACATGCCACTAACGAACGGGAGCCAACAACAACAGCAAAGTTCATTTTGATGGGTTTATCGAACAAAGGCCCCAAGCCATGGAGAATGCAGGAAGAGAAAAAGTGGGGGCACAAATTAGAAAAACAGACCCAAATATGAATAACAGTGGATTCAATGTTAACACCAAATCAATGAGACCATTTTGTAAGCTTCATATAGCAGCTAAACACAAAATATGAATGATGAAAAAATACTTTGTTGTAATCTTAATCATTGATCAACTTGATCAAAACATGCTTAGCACTAAGCACAGTAACAGAAGAACTACCATTCAATTTGAGATTAAAAAACAATTACGAATAGCATCAATGGAAGGTCGGATATCCGGGAAATATCCAACTAAGGAAAACTCGAATGGCGCTGCCAAAGCGAGCACCTCCTCCTCAGAAACCCAAAGAGACGGTAAACCACAATGAGTGACGGCTTTAAGGTCGGGAAAATAATGGGAGGATGAACTAGCAGAAAGCGCCTTAAGAAGAGACCGCGAAGAGGATTTACCATCAAGGAAACCAGGATCCTTCACACGATTAACCGCCATGCCGACCGGAGCACTGACAGGGAAGACAAAAAGGACAGAAAAAACAAAAAAATGACACATCAAAGGAAGAAAAACCAGAAGAACATGGAGATTTGCGTCCAGAAGAGGCCGAGAAGGCCGGCGGCCCCCAAAGAACGAACCCTAACAGAGCACGAGGAAAGGGGAACATTTTTTCATCAACATCATGGTGGTTAGTCTTATCCATATTTATGTGTCTTAATGATATCAAAATAATATGATTTTAGGCTAGTTAAATCTTTTGTTGAGCCGCTTGATATGACTATGAATATGATGTGACATTTTGAGATTGTTTTGTCCATCATTTAATATCTCAAAAAAAATTATTACGCTTCAAATGCTTAATTTAGGTTCATTCGTACTCGGATTGTGCAACATTTTACGTCAAGTAATGTTTGAATTTTCCTAAATTTAATTCCAAAAACTGATAATTATTTTTTAATGAAAACGCTAAATAAAAGAAATATGTCGTAAGGAAGTTGTTCAACAAGTCGTCGTAGGACAATTGACTACCAAAGTTACTGACAGGGTTCGGACGATCTAGGTATGATGAGTGTGAAAAACATATATGTTGTGGTCATGCACATTTCTGATAGAAGATTATTGTGTGAGTAATAATAACTAGCACGAGTAAAAAAGTGAAGCAATCTGATTATATAAGATAAAACTACCGGCACATAATCCAAGCCCAATATTTCATGTTTGATTGTGAACTTTTGATGTATATGGTCAAATATCTTCAAGGCCTTAACATATGATGGATAAATCATAATTCTTAGTTTCATAATTCTTCAATGATGTCATCTCATATGACCAGTAAAACTTATGGATACATAACGTCATTTTAAGTATGGTATGATGGATAAATAAAATAACCTAAAATATAAGGCATCCTTTCACTTCTTTTGAATCAAGATACATTGTAATGCTTCTATGCAGTTTCTGTCAAATCATTTTTGTAATATATCATACCATCATTATTGCACAATCTATTTTTTGTGCAATCAAACTTAATTTGTGCAATAATTTATTCATTCTATATATCATTATTTGTTAGATTAGTTTCCTTCAAAAGTCCAACAAGTTGGTTGAAATAATCCCACAATATGTTATACTCTATTTAAATGTTAAGCGTCCTAACTACAATTGCCAACCTAGATTGAGTGATGCAATCATCCCAAAATAGTTGTTGAGTTGTATGCAATAAAGCATAAAACTTATGGACTTATATGTTAAGAGATTATTCTATATATTATGTAAATTACATGCAAGTTGCATCCAAGATCATATCTTTATATCACCAGGATTTTTCTTCATGAACTTATTGAAGTTTCGCTGAGAGTCGAAATGTGGCTTACTCTGTATGTGATGTTCAAAATCAATAATATGATAGGATCATTTACAATATAAATCAAATGTGACATCATCAGGTTTAAGGTACTCCTTCAAATATAAAATAAAATAAAAGCTATTGAGAAGCTACTTAAACGAATTATTCAACTTCTTTGACCATTTGTTATTCCTTTGTCGCCCAAATAATAGTCTATTATACATCCAGGGTCTTTGGCTTCGAGTATTTGCATATACATTGCATTTAAAATAAAAATGGTAGATATAATTTCACTTAACAAATAAAGTTAGAAATATTTAATAGATACATAAATTTTGTTAATAAAATATCAACCATCTATACAAAAAAATTAACTTAAATTCAACCTAGAGTTCTTTAAAATATGATAGAGAGGAAGATTTACCTTCAATTTTACATCGAAGGAACCCGACCAAAAATAGCTCCAAACAGACTATGACACTCAAGATGTTCAATTTAATGATAAATTTGTTGAAATCATACTTCAAATTATCCTTAGTATAAATCTGAAATATTTTTTAGATTCAGAAATTACAATGAGATTCTGCTGCTCGAAGAAATTTTTGACGATAAGTACCAAAACATAAATAAAGCAGAAAGATTTTTTTTTGAGATATTTGAACTAATTAAAGTAAATTTACACACTCATTATATATATATATATATATATATATAAGATTTGATGGAGATTAATTTTAAATCCTCCAAGATTTTTTTATTTATTTTTAGACATTTAGGTCAATTAAAATAAAATTTATATTGCATCACATACTTAAGACTCGAACCTAAGACATTTTTTTTTTTAAACAGGAATACATTCATAAAAAGAATAGTACAAGGAAAGACCACATAGGTGGCCACATCAAGAGATTACAAGAAAATGGTAAAAATAAAGCAAAGATCAACTAGAATAAAGGTCGATAAAGTCGGACTCAGACCAGCTTCGGATTGCCAAGGCGGGGCCATCCACTGGACAAAAGAAAGGGCCGATCAAGTTGCCAACCAACCCTGGCCATCCACGATGCTTGCAGCAAGCTGCTACCTCATCGTCCATATCAGAATCACTTGATCATAACAAAACACCAACAAAGCATTCCAGCAATAGACAAACAAACAAAACAACAACTCAAAAACCATAATTAGCGACCACGCCTGCCCCGGCCACGAGGCCAACCACGAGATGCAACAGAAACAAGAGGCTGATCGCGCAGCAAATTAAAAGAATTCTTATGATCCCCATCACCGAAAGAATCCACAGAAACAGATCCAGATTCAGAAGCCGAATCAGAACTATAATCATGAAGCCAGTCCAGATGAACCCGCAAATCAATGCCCGAATTATCCTTAACATTATACAATAAACCTTGAGGCTCCATAAAAGTGACAGGAACATCAACAAATTCATTACAAATAGGGGTAGAGATACCAGAATTAGCCACCTTACTCACTTCCTCACCTAAACTCACCACATTAGTAGGTTGGGCAAGGCAATCCAACGTCTCAGAATTTAAAGAATGACCATCAAAAGCAGCAGGGGCCGACCTCACATACACCAAAGGAGCGTCACGGGGAACGACCACAGCACTCAAACAAACACGATTGGAGACCAAATTTAAAAACAACGGAATAAAGGGTTGAGCATCGGGAGATAAAGCATCCAAACTATCCACCTTACCAATCCCAACACTAAAAACACCATCAAGCACCACACGTACAATTCTCCTTATTCGCATCCAACCCCAAGGGGTCCCCAGACCCCGCACAGTCTATAGCATTATTATCAAACACAACATCAGAATGAAAAACAGAGGCACCACCAGCCACATCATTGACCACAACCGAACCCAAAACCTGCTCACCATCGCCGACACCAGAAGATACCACAGCAGGTCGGATCGAAACAACACCACCATCATTATCAAGAAGGGCATCAACCCCCAACCCGATAGGCACATCCAACAAAACAGGGGAAATGACAGCATTAGTGGACGGAACAATAACAGGTAGAGGCGCAACCTCCACAGCATAACCAACACCAGGGTTTAAACAAACCTCCCCAATACCCTTATTTGCAACATCAAGAGGGTTAGAGAGAAGATTCGGGGTTGGAGAGAATACAGATTCAGGTGGATTAACAATTTGATTTAACCCGGCATCCACTGGTGGGCGAACCGAATTCACAGGTGTTCTTAACTGAGGAAATAATTTAGAGCATTCCGATTTTTTGTGACCAACAACCTTACAATGCTGACAAAAGCTTGGAACATCTTCAAACACCATCTTTGAACATACCCACACTTCTCCGGACCCAACCACACCGAATCCAGGTGAGATTTAGAGATATCGATTTCAACCAGAAGACGAGCGACTGAGGGGCGCGATCCCACAGCCGTCGCGTTATCAGTGTGAATCGGCCGTCCAAAAATTGATCCCAAACCAAATAAAATTTTGGGAGAAAACAGGTGAGGTCGTAAACCCGGAAAAGAAACCCACACAGGGACGATCGGCGACTCCTCCGACAGGTCAAGGAGAGGCGACCATTTGATAATTTTCATGAAACAGCCAGCGACAAAATAGGAACGGTGAGCAAAAATGCTTCCATAATCTAAATCATTACCAAGCTTAATCAACACATTCGTTTGATCTAAAAAGGTGACCGAAAAATCACCGGAGAGTCCGGTGTTGAACCTAAGACATATTGATTGATAGTTAAAGCTTACAATCAAGAAACCATATGAGCTGTGTAAGATAGAATTTTTTATTTCAAATGATTTTGAACCCGAAGCGACGCGCGATTTGCGAACGGCGAAGCGGGCGCTGGCACGCGTTGCGACTGGTTATTCGCAAATGACGAAGCGACGAGACGCGATGCGACTTTACGCATCGGGCAGTCGACGCGGGTAGGGACCTTTTTCGGGTCATTTTCGAGTTCTCGGGTCAACCCGAACACAGTCCGATTTTTAAAACGGGTCGGTTTATTGAACTCGAACCCGACCCATTTCACAAATGGGTTGACCCGAACCTGAATTTTTTGGGATCGGGTGTAGGGTCGTATCAAAAATTGACTCCACTATGTTCAACTCAAACGGTGAGAGAGAAAATAGGCTACAACTAGAGGGGGACAGAGAAACGGTGGTGGCCTGATGTGCGAGATAAACATGGAAAAGAGGGGGAGAGAAAGAGGGGAAAGGGCCGGAGAAAAAAAAAAAATTATTTTTAATAAGCCTAAGGAGAAAATTTAAATAAAATTTTATAAAAGAAAAATAAAATAGTTATAAATACATAATAAATATTAAAATTAAAATTTTAAAGTTTTTCCTTTAGGATTTAAATAAATTAAATTAAATTTTAAATTCAAATTCAAATTAAATATCAAAATTAAAATTAATTTTGTTTTGCATTTCGCCCTCTCTCTGCTTCTCTCTCCCCCTCTCTTTTCGTTTCTCTCTCCTAAGGCCCACCAGTCCACCGTTTCCCTCTCGTTCTCTCTCTCTCCTGCTTATTCTCACTCTCTCCATTTGTGTTAATCAAAATAAAATGTGCTATTTTATTTGACGAATTTATTTTTTCTTAATTTTATATTAAATATGCTCCTTAATTACTCCTTGTTTCTTTCCGAAAAAGTCATAATCATTATGATCATTTAAATATAATTATTTTTCTTAATTAAACAATCAACTAAATGAATTATTATTCAGATAATAATATCATCTGCATATGAACACGATTCCTTAAAATGAAATCTCAACATTACACATACAAGAACACTCGGTATTAGCCAAAAGCCCAACACCTGCACAACAACAAACCACGACTACTTTTGGGAAATTCATCAAACAGTGCATCGACACCAATAATAACATCATCAAATCAGAAACTACAAAACGCAATCCTAAAGCTCCAAAACCAATCAGAGAAACTCGTATTGCTCGTACCGGATGCCGCAGTCATCGATCCTAGCCTGACCTCCAACCGCCATAGAGCACCTTATTATCAATGCCGCAACGGTTGATTGAAGGCAAAACTTGCAAATTCCGGGCGTGAGGCTGCCGGAGCACGAGGAGCGGCCGTAGGCCGGAGAGAATGGGTAACTGTAGTTATTGTAGTAATTTTCACCTGGTTGGACCGACCCGCCCTCGACCAAGTCGGGGAACAATAAGTTAAGGGTGATGGAAAAGGGGTCGCCGGCGGTGTAATTGACGAGGTTGCAGACGAATGAACTCCTGCAGGCGGCGGGGGATGGTGTGGACGATATCAGTAAGAGGAGCAGTGCGGCGAGGAAAGGGGGCTTCGGCATTAGAGCAAATTTCAAGTATTTGGTTTCTGGTGATGGATTGGGTTAATTTCCTACTTATAAGAAGTTGAAGGTAAGGAGTAAACAGTTTTGGGATTCCCTCCGTTTAATTTTTTTAGGTTTTTTAATATGATAACATATTTATTATTTTATTCCGGTGTTGTATTTTACTTAATATAACTACAATTTAAGATAGAGTAAAATATTTATTTAATTTAGTGGAACAACCGTTACATTTAGTGCTTGCCTGCTTCGCAATGGACGGCAGGAATATTTTAAATCTAAAAATTTTTTTAATAGAAAAAATAGCAAAAGATTAAAACAAGAAAAGACAATTAAGCATGCATAAGGAGATTCAAAAGCGGACTCAGTTTAGCAGCTCCTCGCAATGATTTCACAGCCAACACATGCCATCCAATTGTGACAAACACAAAAGCCAGCAGGCAAGGCAACCACCAAGCAAAGGCTTACCACCAAGGTTGCCAACAAGTCATGGCCAACAAGGTTATAAGTAGAGAGCTCCCTCATCATTATCCAAAGCACAAGAAAACCCACGACAAACGAAACGAAGATGGCAACCCAAAAGCTATTTCTTCTTAGATTTACTTTTACATTTTTTTTCCACCGCCAAAGAGAATAAATTCATCATCCACGTTGTTACCCATATCATTCGCAACAATCTCGCAAGAAGTGGAGATTTCCTCATCAATATCCATCCAATCATTTTGAACCAAAACTAATTTATTTGAAGACCAATCTAGATGAGATTTTAATTTGGTGTTAGACATAACATAAATAGAAATATCCACACAATTCACAGTATGAGTAGAGCCTGGCAAATCTGAGACAGCCACATCCACACCAGAAGGGCTTCCATCCCCGTATCTAACACCTGAATTAGCCTCAACATCCGCACAAGAATTGCCTTTAAAAAATTCATTACCACTAATATTAACAACACAAGCACCTAACTCTATGTCAGCCAACACATGACAATGTTGTTCAACATCTAAGATAGGATCCAAGTTACCAGCTGCAAGTGACGGATCAACCCTAGCAACTCGAGCTCACGAGTTTATATTTTTTATGATAACAAATATTGTGGCTCACATCCTGTTGTCTATTTGTATTTGTATTTTTTTTTGTACTAATTTTTTAGAAATATCATGTACCATCCAACGAAGATTCAAACCTAAAGATTTGGTAGAATATGTAATGCAACGATTTTTATAATATTCATTGATGTATTTTTTATTTCTTGAGTCAAGTCATGTAAGGGTATATGTTTGCTTAATAACCATGCTCTCGCACACTCGGGGAGAGTGAGATTGAGTCAAAACCAGAATTTCAATTTGTGAACTAATCATAATGTTGATTTATATTGTACTGTATTATTTATATCGTACTGTATGATCAACTCTTCTAACTAATAGTATTAAACGATTTAAATCATCCTGGATGACCATTTATGATCATTAAAAATTGCCTTCAATCATAATTAAGGTAAGGTTTTAAATTTCATATTTTGTTCTAATCGTCCAAAACGATGTACATCATACTAGACGATCTATGAAAATCATACATAAATTGATCATGTGATTAGTTAATCGAATATGCTTAATTTTGATAGTCTGATCGTACTGTATGAACTGGATCGTACTGGATGATCAATAGAGATGATTTTGATCGTCCCAGGTTTTATCCTGGACGAATTGCATTTTGGTTGAACTAATTGACCTGGATGATCTCAATACTGTACTGGACGATCTGTTCAAATACTTGAACTGATCATACAGCGCAATACTAATTGTATTGGTTGAAAGGCCTATTGTGTACTAATCATATAGGACGATCTATCGATCATATTATATGATCTTTATTAGCATAATTAAATTTTTAGAGTTTTTCAAAGCCCTCTATTTAAGTTGTTTCAAGACACTTGGTTAGTGTCTTTGGCAGCCATTGTGTCTTCATTCTTCTTGAGAAAATTTGAAAAGAGAACTTGATAGGGACAGATGAAAGGGTGGAGTTTGAGAGGGAGAAGATCCTTGGAGGGAGTTCCAAGGGAGTGTGGAGAGGATTTCACATGATTGCTCCGACAAGCTTGCACCTTAGTACCATCGGATTCAAGGTTCATCTTGAGTGAAGTTTTGGGAAGAAGAAGATCTCTTTGGTGTCAAAGTACCCGAGTAATCCGCCGCATCGGGGAAGGTGAAAGGGATTCGTGGTTCTTTGTCATCTCCTAGAGGGAGACAAATGAGTCAAGGTTATCTACTTGTGAAAGGAGTTTCAGTCATCTGCCGCACCGGGTTGGTTGAAAGATTTTGTAAGGACTTCTCCACCTTGTTGTGGGGGCAAAATGAGAGACACTAAAAGATTTTAGTGCAATACTCATAAGGTGCCTCCGATGAGTGGACGTAGGTCGGGTTAGACCGAACAACTATAAATCTTGTGTTTTCTTACCTTTTATTCTTTTAATATTAATTCAACAATGCTGGTTGGGCGATGGTTTGATGGTGATGTTCAATCTATGCTCCAACAGCACTAATGCTCGGGTAGAGCTCTCTTGAATCTCAAGCTATTATCTCCCATTCATGTAGAGAGTGAGGCCTATTGTATGTTTTTTAAGAGTGACATATCTTGTAAACATACCCAAAATTCAAGACATTCCATCAAACGACCCATAATAAATCTTTTGGTAATAGACAATTCTTTTAATATTTAAGTGTCTTAATGATGTCAAATGATTTTAGGTTAGTTGAATTCTTTTGTTGATCAGACGCTTGATATGACTATGAATATGTGACATTTAGAGATTGTTTAGTCATTCATTTAATACTCAACTTTTTTTATTATGCTTCAAATGCTCAATCTAGGTCCCTTCGTACTTGGATTGTGCAAACATTTTATGTCATTGAGTTGATATCATCGAGAAGTTCATTTTGACTCTAAATTTGTTGAAATTAAAGTTTAAATTTGCCTAAATTTAATTCTAAAAAGTAATAATATTTTTTAAGGAAATACTAAATAAATGAAATATGTCGTAAAAAAAAGTTTTTCAATAAGTCATCGTCGGACAATTGACTGCATGCCAGAGTTACCGACATGGTTCCAACTATCTTGGTATGATGAGTGTGAAAAAAATATATGTAGTCATGTACATTTCTGATAGAAAATAATTGTGTAAGTAATAATAACCAGCTCGAGTAAAAAAGTGAAGCAACCTGAATGTATAAAGTAAAACCATCAGCTCATAATCCAAGCCCAATATTTCTTGTTCGATTGTGAACTTTTGATGTATATAGTCAAACAGCTTACCGGCCTTAACATCTGAGGGACAAATCATAATCCTTAGTTTCAAAATTCTTCAATGATGTCATCTCATATGACTAGTAAAACTCATGGATACATAATACCATTTTAAATATGGTATGTGGATAAATAAAATAACCTTATATATAAGGGGTCATTTATCTTCTTTAGAATCAATATACATTGTAATGCTTCTATGTAGTTTCTGTAAAATCATTTTTGTAATATAACATACAATAATTATTGCACAATCTATTTTTTGTGCACTCAAACTTAATTTGTGGAATAATTTATCCATTCTATATACATTTATTTGTAAGATTAGTTTCCTTCCAAAGTTCAACAAATTGGTTGAAATAATCCCACAATATATTATACTCTATTTTAATGCTAAGCATCCTAATTGTAATTGCTAACCTAGATTGAGTGATGCAATCATCCCAAAATAATTGTTGAGTTGTATGTTATAATACATAAAACTTATGGGCTTAGATGTTAGGAGATTCTTCTATATATTATGTTAGACAACAGTGGTCATCAATATTGGTTGTCGCATATAACTCTCTCCAACTCCAAATTCAAGTTTAGCTCTAAGTTCCAATCACCCTTTTATGTGTTGAATGATGGTCTATTTATATTTTTCTTGAATGACATTTCAATAATTTTAGCCAAAATCATCAAAGCATTTATCAAAAGGCACGTATTGATTCACTAGGTCGAAGAATTTTTGTTTAGCATTTAATAATTTTAATGACCTAAAAATTGAATGCATTAGACTTGTTGAATTCCTCTCATCGATACGCTCGACTTTACTTATCATTTAATTTTTCAATTATTATAATGATTTTTTCAATAATATTTCATGTGCTTGTTTTGAGCATTAAAGTTATATTAGCTCAATTCTAGTGTTATTGAACTCTTCTTATCAAAATGCTCAATTTAATAATAAATTTTTTGAAATCATATTTCAAATTATCCCCAATATAATTCTGAAAATTTTAAATTCAGAAATTACATTGAGAATTCTGCTTCTCGAAGGATTTTTTTTGTCAACTCATATCGGGTCAAATTTAATCCCGATTTCATCATTATCAAAATTCAAGAACGACATACATTATTCGTTTCAATCAAACTTTATTTATAAAAAAAAAGGACTTGGTCAAGATTAATTTTAATAATCCTAACGAGGAAATTTAAATAAAAATTTATAAAATAAAAATAGAGTAGTTATAAATACATAATAAATATCAAAATTAAAAATTTAAAGTTTTTTCTATACGATTTAAATTAAATTAAATTAAATTTTAAATTCAAATTCAAATCAAATCAAAATTAAAATTAACATTTTTGCAGTTTAGTGAGCGATTATCAATATATAACAAAAATCAAAATTAAATTTTATTTAAGTTTTTTTCTTTAGAATTTAAATTAAAATAAATTTTAAATTCAAAGAAAAAACATTAAAAATCATTATTTTGATATTTATTATGTATATTTTATTTTTTTAGTGCCCGATTGAATTTTTTTATAGATATTTTGTTGCCAGCAATTTTTGTTCTTATAACTTAATGAATAAACTTAAATAAATTTTAATTTTAATTTTGTTATGTATTGATAATTACTCACTAAATTGTAAGAAGATTTTAATTTAAATTTGAATTTAAAATTTAATTTAATTGAAATTCTAAAGAAAAAAATTTAAATAAACTTAATTTTTATATTTATTATATATTTATAACTATTCTATTCTTATTTAAAAAAAAAATATTTAAATTTTCTCCTTAGAATTATTAAAAACAAATAAAACAAAAGAAAAAATTTATTCTCTCCCGCCCTCTGCCCTCTCTCTCTCTCCCTCCTCTCTCTCTCTATTCTGCTTTTTCATTTTTTTTAGAATAAATAATAATAATAATAAATTATTTTTGAGAATAAAAATTTATTTGACGAATTTATTTTTTTCAAATTTCTTGGACTTCTGCAGGTACTTCTCGATTCAGAGGCAAAAAAAAGAAACACCCTATGATGAATTATTATCCACTGCATATCACAGGATTCCTTAAACTGAAATCTCAACATCACACGTACAAGAACACTCAATAATAGCCAAAAGCCCAACACCTGCACAACAACAAACCACAACTTCTTTTGGGAAATTCATCAAACAGTGCATCGACACAAACAATAACATCCTCAAATCAGAAACTCCAAAACGAAATCCTAAAGCTCCAAAATCAATCAGACAAAGGGGCTTTGCTCGTACCGGACGCCGCATTTCCCGAGCTCAACCCTAACTCCGATCGCCATAGGGCACTTTTTTTTCACGACCCCAACGGCCGATCGAAGGCAATAGCTGCAATCGCCGGCGGTGAGATTGCCGGAGCACGAGGAGCGGCCGTAGGCGAAAGCGTTTGGGTAAGGGGAGATGTTGTAGTAATCTTGACCGGGTCGGGCCGACCCGCTCACGACCAAGTCGGATAACACGTAGGTCAGGCTGATGGCGAAAGGATCGCCGGCGGTGTAATAGCTGACGTTGCAGAGGACTGAACTGGCGCCGGCGGCCGGGGATGGTGCGGACGATATCAGTAGAAGGAGCAGCGCTACGGGGAAAAGGGGCTTCGGCATTGGAGCAAATTTGAAGCATTCGGTGATGGATTAGGTTAATTTCCAGTTTATAAGAAGTTAAAGGTAAGGAGTAAATCGGTAAAGAGTTTTGGCCTTTGGGGTTCTCTGTGTCTTCTAGCTGAAGATCTGGTCATCTAATAAATAAATATATATAGATAAATTGATAAAAACAAGAATTTTAATTTTTTATGTTTTTTTAAGATGATTACACAATAATTATTTATTCCGGTGCTGACTTTTAATTGATATAATTGCGATTTAATATATAGTAAATTATTTATTTAAATAATTTAAAGGAACAAATGTTAGTGCTCGCCTGCTTCGCAATGAAGGGCCGGCAAAATTTAAATTTTATAAAAATTTTTAATAGAAAAAATAACAAAAAATTAAATAATTTTATGCAACTATTACAAGGTCTAATTCAGCTGAAATAGTTTCATCAGTATATACCGTTGATTATAAATGATGCACTTTTCTAGTAGAAGATTGTATGGTGTCAGTATTAATAATAATTATGAGTAAAAAATTGAAGTTGTTTGACTATATAGAGTAAAACTATCGGCACATAATATAAGCCTAATATTTCTAGTTTGATTTTGAATTGTAGATGTATGTAGTCAAGGAGCTTCCGGGCTTCAACATTTGATGGATAAATCATAATCCTTACCTTCAAAATTCTTCCCTTTCATATGACTAGTATGGCTCATTGATATATAACATCATTGTAAATTTTGTATGATGGATAAATAAAATAACCTACTATATAATGCAACGTTTCAAATCTTTTGAATCGAGATACATTGTAATGATTCTATGCCGTTTTTGTCAAATTATTTTTGTAATATAACATACAATCATTATTGCACATTCTATTTTTTTTGTGCACTCAAACTTAATTTGTGCAATAACTTGTTCATTTCATATTTATTTATTTGTTAGATTAGTTTCCTTCAACAGTCCAACAAGTTGGTAACCCCATAATATGGTATACTCTATTTTAATTTTAAGCATCCTAAGTGCAATTGCTAACCCAGATTCAGTGATGCAACCATCCCAAATTAGCTGTTGAGTTGTATGTTATAATACATAAAACTTAGATAGTTAGATGTTAAGTGATTCTTCTATATATTATGTAATTACATGCAAGTTGCATCTAAGACCATCTCTTTATATCATCATAAATTTTCTTCATTTACTATTGCATAGCTTATCAAAGTTCCTCTGAGAGTCGAGATGTGGCTTACTCTTTATGTGATGTTCAAAAGTAATAATATAATATGATCCTTTACAATATAAATCAAGTGCGAGATGATCAGGTTTAAGGTACGTACACTTGATTTTCATGTTTAGAACATAGATATGTAAGCTTTCCTTCAAAATAAAATATAGGCTTTTGAGAAGCTACTTAAACAAATTATTCAACTTCTCTGAGCATTTGTTAATCCTCTGCCCCTAAGCAAAAGTCTATTATACATTCAAGATCTTTGGCTTCTAGTATATGCATATACATTGTATTTTAAAAAAAAAAAATTGGTAGATGCAATTTCACTTAACAAATAGAGTTGGAATATTTAAAAGATACATATATTTTGCTTAATTTTTTTTAATAAAATATCAATCATCTGAAAATTTAACTTAAATTTAACCTAGAATTCCTTAAAATATCATAGAGATGAATATTTACGTTCAGATCTACATCAAAGGAATCCAACCAAAAATAACTTCAAACCGGTGATGGCACCCTCATATAGATGAATAAGGCGAAAATAAATTCATTGCTAAACTTCTTGCTAATAGACTTAGAAACTATATGCCTCACCTCATTGACTTATCTCAATCAGGCATTATCAAGAATAAGATGTCTAGTAATAATATTATTCTAGCTGTTGAACTTTTATTGACTCCAAGCAAGATAAGAACTTTAATTTTTTTGTGCCAAATTCAACAGCTTTAAAGCCTTTGACACTATTTGCAGAAAATTCATAATTTTTACGCTTCATGAGAAATGTATACCTATATTGGTTAGAAAAAGGCTTGCATTGAGAATGTCCATTTCTTTATATATCTTAATGGTTCTTTGAAGGGGTTTTCAACTTTACTTTTGACCTTAGACAATGTTGGCCGTTATCACCTTAACTCTTTTGCATTGTTATGAATGGGCTTTCTACTTTGTGGAATATATAAATAATAAAACACTACGGTACGGAAGTTAGTGAAAAAAGAAATTAGTATGAGTATCAAATATATAAAGAAATCATCGTATATGTAATATCAATCAATATAAAAATCATATAAAGTATTAAATCAAAACATTAATAAAAACTGTTGAAATCATATCAATATAGTAAAATTATAGAATAGTGTATACATATTATCCAACTATTATATATCACATGCTCGATATCATATACATAATACCAATACAGTGAAATAATAATATCAAATATTAACAAAAATTCATACAATATTAAGAATAATGTCTCAAAACATGCATTTCAATAATCACACTAAACAAGTAAGAAGCCTTGGCTATCACGGTATTTTTTAATATTGTATCAGTATCAGTAAATCGTTGGCTTAGTAAACAAAATCATCATTCTTTGTCTATTGGCACAATAATCATCTCTTTATAACTCCCTGTCAGTGTTTAGGGTGAATCAATAGAGGTAACACCAAACCACAGCATTTAAAGAAAAGCTTGTCGGCCCGCCATCATGTATAGGTCAATCAGTCTCCAACCAACGGGATAACCAGTCTTTACTTGTCTTTTACACACATATTATTATCACAATACTATAACTGTAATAGCTATCAAGTATTAAATACAATCACATATACACATTCATTTTCAATGCATTGCAGTAAATAAAGCATAATTGAGTTTAATTAAAAAAGAATTAAAATATCATAATGGTGGATAACAAAAATCATACTAAGCAAAAAATTATTTTTTTAGAATTCAACCAAATTACCAAAAATTACTAAAAATAAAATTTTGAAGTTTTAGCGGAACTAAATCACTATTTTTAGAAGTTATAATAAATTTCTAAGTAGGCAAAAATTACTGTATTTTCAAAATCACCCAGTGAAAATTCTTAAATAAATAATCAAAACTTTAAAATCACAATATCTGTAACATATAAAAAATTACACTGTAAAAGTTTTACCAATACAAAATTATTCTCATTTTTTTATAACGGAAGCACAAATTTGATCAGAAAAATATCAAAATATAAAATATTTGAAATCAAAAGTAGTGTAAAGGTTTCTTATAAAGAGATGAGCAAATCTTCCAACTGAATCGACTGACAAAAATCGCACCGCTATATCCAAATACAGAATTTTATTTTTCTCTCATCTCTTTCTTATATTTCTCTCACACATCTATATTACCAAAAATCAAGAAGAGAAAAAGGTTTTTAATGAAACATGTTAGTGGAATTGAACTTTTCTTAATAATATAACAATATAATATTATATAATGAATTTAATCAAATTTTTTAATATAAAATTCAAATAAATCATTTTAGGACTTCAAAAATTATAGAAAAATATTCATAAAATAAATCATTTTATTTAAAAAAAAAATATTGATAAAATCATTTTGCAAAACGAATACCTAACTGTCCCAAAATCCCCACTTGTACAAACATGTGTCAATTTCTTAAAAATTTTCACCGATGCCTAAAAATTATGAAAAAAAAAATCATACAAGTAAAATATTATAATAACAATACTATGACAAAAAGGGTTTGTGATTTAGAATTATATTGACTTTAAAAAAGATATTTATATCAGTATAAATATGGGCTATTACACCTGCAACTCCTTTGGATGGTGGAGGATTCATATTATGCCCTCATCTTCTTTTTCTCCCTGATGGCTTACTCTGTGTATCACCCATCACCTGTATTAAAACACTGGCCAGCTACATAATAGCATCTGATAGTACTAGAGCTACACTATGTTTCTCATTTGGTACATTTTGCCCTGACAATTAGGCACATTTGCAACCCTAAAAGCTTAATTTTTTAAGTGTGAGTCACCACTCAATATTTCAATTCCATAATACCAAAAATTTGTTAGCTACTTGATGTAAAAATAAGCTTAAGCTGAAACTTTTCATTATTAAATATCAACAGCTCATTCAATCACATCAAGACTTCATGCAGATCACAAAATATAAGCTTGTGGCTAAATTCACTTAAATTCCCAAAAAAATAACAAACAATGCCTTAAATTGGAACCAAATCAAGCAAGATATACAGAGAAACTCATTTATTTATTAGCATATGTTTTGCACCTGAAACAAAATTCTTTTACAGAAATGCCATATCTCAATGTCACATAAACTTTAGCTCTAACTCATAGAGAGAGAGAGAGAGAGAGAGAGAGAGTGCAACAAATAGCCTTGGAAAAACTTTTAAAGGAAACCAAAGCTAATTAACGTTCCTAAAACAAACTATTGAATCTATATGGGCTGGCATTGCAAGAAAACTCAGAAATTACCAGCTGTATCCATTTGTGTAGCTACATCCGCAGCAGCGATCCCTTTAAATAGGACACACAGCTTCCTTAGGGAGGATGACTTCTTGCCATTGTTCTCAGCTAAGCCACTTACATGAACAGTATCCTTACGAACTTTACCCATCAGATCATAGAGGGGTTGTTGAAGATTGGATCTGGTCATTTCTTCCAGAATTGGAGGGGACTGCATGTAGATATTATTTCCACGATGGGTGATACTTGGTTTTGACAAGAGAAGTTTCGGGTGTTCTCCCAGAATTTCAATGAACTGTAAAATTACATCGTGAAAGATTTAGCAGAAGGTAAGTTAGTTTGAATACATTACAGGGATATAAAAGATGATCCCAGTTCAAAGCATGCTTCTACGCAAATTCCACATTCGCAAATTTTAGAAAGGATAAAGTCCAAAGCATATAGCCCAAAACAATTCTTTAGGCTGTTGTATGATTGACAAGTGCTATGTGCATGCCATGTGTATCTATCCAATGGCTTTGGAGATTTATTTTGGAAGATTTTGAGGACAATATATGTAATAGCCCGTATTTTAACTTTGCCAATTTTTTTCTGGAGTAGTTATAACTCCAAATTGCAATCCAATTTCGCCATCGTGTTTTTATTGTAGTATTTTACTTACACTAATTTTTTCATAATTTTTAGGCACCAATGAAAATCCTTAAGAAATTAATATCGATTGGTACAAGTGAGAGTTTCGGGACCGTCAGATGTCCGGTTTACAAACCGATTTCACCCATATTTTTTAAATATTATGATTTATTTTATGGATATTTTTCTATAATTTTTGAATAACTAAAAGATAAGAATAATTCTTCCAAATTAAATTTTGAGGCATCACAATATATTCTAACAAAATTTTAGTCAAAATGAGCCTCAAAATCAATAGATTTATTTTGAGATAAGTATAATATATAAAAAATCAATCTAAATGTGTATTATACTCATCTCTAAATAAATCAATCTTGACAAATCATTCTTTTTTTGTAATGTCATATATAAGAGAGAGAGAGAGAGAGAGAGAGAGAGAGAGAAAAAAACTGAAAAAAAAAAAACTCTCATCCAAACCAACTAGGCAACAATCCACATGGACAATCAGTATTCTCGCACTACAATATTCTAAACATTAGCTAGTCAATTCTCTCTACTTTTTTTTGAAATCATAGAGCATAGCAGCCCTCAAACCAATCACGGAAGAGCAGAGGAGAACAGGGTAGTTGCAAGAGATGATAAATATACGTTTGCAGCTAAAGTGCATGCCATTATTGTTAAATCTACTACCTTCAAGCAGGAGTGAGAAGAGAGGGAATCACAAAAATAGGGGAGTCTCGCTGCTTCACAACTGTATAGAGATTCATGCAACTTTCAGGTTTCTGACAGATCATAAGTAAAAGAGGAATCAGGATATAGATCATTTTTCATGATGTACGAAACTTTATAATTTGTTTGATGTTTATGTTATTAAAATGTTTAAACGCACATAAGCTTTTGAAGGAAGTTTCCTAAGCAAAACAAGCAGTAAGTGTCAAGTTCAGAGACTTCAATGATTAGGATAAAGTGCATCCGATTGTATCACATAGGCAAACATGTACAAATAATGAACGATTCAGAAAATAGAGAAGACCTGAGAAACAGTGGTTGAAGTGTCCAAATCAATGCGAGTTCCTGGACCACACACAAGACAATCTTTCTCCCTAACAAATTCAGTCACTTTAATATGCGTTCCTTCAACACCGTTATACCTGCAGAACAGAACATGCTTATCAGCTAGTAACCTACAGAAGCATAGAATGCCTAGACCACAGCAGTTTGACCAGAAGAAGGCAAACTTTTGACGTCCTTGAATTTTTGAAATATTTTAAAACCATACAAATTAAATTTACTTCACAATCATCTTTAAGTTAATCATGCTATAAACCTGAGATTTCATTATGTTCCTATTGGATCCTAAATTTGGAGTAAAGCAGCTAATTGCTATTAAACAAATAAAATGCTCAGCCATTTCATTCCAGAAAACATACAAACCTAGCATATTATAACAACAACAACAAGCCTTAATCCCACTTAAAAAAAAAGCCTTTATTTCACTATACAAAACCTAGCATAATGACAAAAAAAGAATCTAAGGCTTCGTTTGGTTATCCCATAACTTTTGTAAAAGGTAGTTTTAAAAATATTGATGGAGCAAATGGAATTCTCAAACCGAGAAGCATATATCAAAAAACTTCTCAAAACAGTAAAAAAACAAAATTTTGTAAAAAGCATTTCCAAATAAGGGGCATATTCAAACAGCCACAAATGCCGTTTCCAAACGGAGAAGGAGAAAATAAGCCGCGTCAAACAAGGCCTAAATCCAATTGATAACATCATAACATAGTTCTTTCTAAATTTTGTGAAATCAAAGAGAGAAAAACCAGGCTCAAGAATTTAACACCATTAGCGTAATTCATAATTTTCATGCAAGCAGCAATGCATTAAATATTATCTAATAGAAAATATATGGGGGTACGGTATGAGTACTCACGTCATGTAATTGGACAATGTTTTACTACATCCAGATACAATCTTTAAGGCCTCCAAAGCACAGCTAGCAGAAATGATTGCATTTGTAGAAGCAATAGCTGGAATAATATTCTTCACTACTCCCTGAAAAGAAGCAAAGAAATACAAAGGCCCTGAAAAAAAAAATCCACCCAACAGAATAGATAAAAGCAGCTAGCATAAAGCAATTTTGGTAAAACTGAACTAGCAAACAACAGAGTTAACATGAATCTGAACTAGAACTTCCCCAAATAATGGAAAGATAAAGGTTATACCAATGGCATCAAATATGCATGTTGGGTTACATGAGAATATTAACTAATAATTGAACAATAAAAACTGCAAATGAATGTGGGAAATATGTTTCGTATCTAGAAAGAATAGCATGCAACTATTTATCATTATTTAAACGGCTAAATAATCTCAAATTATTTAGCAACTCTCCAATTAATGATTTTACCAAAAGTGGCTAATGGATACCACTGCAAAATTTTAAACATCATGTATATTCATGACTACTTGTGCAGGTACTCTCTCGCATGTACTTGCATATTACTTTCAAATCACATGAAAGGAGAACTCTCTTCGGACAATCAGCTTGAGGGGCTGAGAAGGAGCTTATCATTGGAGCATGGCAAAACACCTCCGACCACTTCCTCCAAGCAGTCGCCCTACCCGGTAGGGTCGACATCAGAAGTTTCTCTCTCAGTCAAACGACTTTGTTCATCTCAACAAAAGTCAAGTCTTTTGTGAGACCTTCCATAAACCAAGCTAAAGGCACAACATATCTTGTCAAAAGGCACAACATATCATTGACAAGACATATCTCGTGATTCGATCATCACTGAGCTCACAGTTCAATGTTAAATCATCACCCGCCCCCTCTTGCACTAACAGGGCCACAACAGACCGGCTTCCTATCCAATGCCGACTTGATCTCCAGAAGGCCACTGGTACATCTCACCCGTTCATCTCTCATAAGATCGCCACACCACTCAGCACATCCGGCCGAGCTACATCAAAGACTGATAGTACAACTCCTATACTCCATACATATTCTTTTGTAACCCTCCAACTCCTATACTCCATAAATAGAGGGAGGGAGGATAAAAGAAGAACAAGAAAAAGAATCGAAGGCCCCGAAGGACCAGAAGGCGACAAAACATCAAGAGACACCAAAGGGTAGACAGAGTGATTCATAGAGAGATATTGTGCCCGTTTTTCCTTCTCTAGCTTGAGCTTTGTAGGACAGAGCCCTCACCACTCTTATTCTTATAATTTTGGTTGGGATAATAAAAATTGTGTCCAGATCTATTGTCTGCTCTCCTACTTTATCTTCCTTTTCCTCTTCATCTTCATCATGCTCACACATAGATCCTCAGTTCATAGGTAGATCCATAAAGTATGGTTAGACATCATCCACCAAATAAATTTAGATTCAACACCTAATGTGATTGTAATTGATAATGGTTAGGTGGGTAGGACTCAAGACTTAGTGCTGCATGCAATCACAACTGAATAATGAATATAAAATAATTTATATGCAAGTGTTCATCGGCAAAGATGTCAATTATAACTATGGATGACATTCACAAAAACATTAATGAAATATTAACACAGAAGGATAATGGATGATATACATAAAGTACAAACTTAAAGTAACTAGCAAATAATAAATGAGAACTTGCAGCATTAATGCAAATTCAGATACCTGAGTCAAGGAGTAAGTGACACCAGCAATGCCAAAAAGCTCAGCTCTCTTCACAGCCTGTTTTATCACGATTTATCAGAAGCTCTATAAAAGGGAAACAGATGAAAGCTCGGCAGGAAACAACCGACCGACCTCTGTGTAAACCCATTGCATGTGTTCTGGATCATCGGGGTCAAATGTTTTCCCACTATGCACCTACAGGTTAAGAAATCTGAAGCAACTAAACAACATACATATTAGAAAAGGGACCAAAACATTAATTGGCACCTCATCCCATTTGATCAAATGAGCATATTCAATACAATGTGCAGGAGTTCTTGGGGTTTCTGCAAGAGTGCATAACGGAAACTTGACTTGTGGAGGGAAAAGCCAAATGTTGCACTCAAAACAAGGAGTCATCCCTGGCAAAATTACTCTGGCATGGCCTTTAAAACCTTCAGTTCCCCCATCTACCATAGGCTTGATAGTTTCGGGTATTGGGTTATCGTCAGAATCGTATTCTACATTGGTCAAAATCATGAGCCACGATGAGAAAATTGGTAGCACATAACTGGTCATTCAGATCCATGCAGAAAACAAGCTCTACAATATGCTGAAAAAGTATCCATCATCAGCTCATGCCTTTCGCCATTACAGTATACGAGGGTAGACATGCAGGTTAACTTGCTTTATGTATTCTATCACCTTAGCATGATGAAATGTGACATGCAGTAGAATATAAACAAAAAAGGAGCGAGACTTATGATCATGTATGAATACATTTTTTAAAAATCAGTGTAAAGCATTTATCTTCCATTGATTAACATCTTGGAAGGAGTTTCATATTAAAACCTTAGAATAAAATAAGTTAACCAGGAAAACGTTAGCATTTTTTTTTAGCACAATCTCTTGATATCTAACTTTAGAGAGTAAAATTGGAAAATATAAAAAATACAAAAATTAATATAAGATTTACAATACGAAGAATCTGGCTTTGTGTACACATATCAAGATATTGCTTTCAAAGAATGATGTTACTATTTGCCATTTTAGCTGATGTTCCTTGAAAATGGTAAACCACCACAACCTATGATGCACAGACATGGACATGGCAACATGGACACGAGACACGTCAATTATTAAAAATATAGGTTACGGACATAGGTTGGACACTGCATTATATTTTTTTTAGTCAGACACTGCACGCGTCTTTGAGAAAAGGTGTCAGTGCATCATAGCTCTACACACTCCGATCAACCCTAATGTAACAAAAATCTGCTTGCTATAAGGTGTTGCTTTTAAGGATAACTGGATAACAAAATAATCTGGAGGAATTGATTTAGGCTTCGTTTGGGACGGCTTTCTTATCACTTTTTAAATCAAATTTCTAGTAAAAAATTAAATTTTTTATATTAAAAACTGCTTTAAGTAGTAAGAAAGCTGTCCCGAATGAAGCCTTAATTTATAGATTCAGATCAGCTCTCCCAATCCCATCAAGCTAAATCAGTTATGGCAAAAGAAAACTGAAGACAGACTTGAGAAATTTTCTTGTTAAAGCTATGATAATCTTAATCTAGCCAGATGTAACAAAACCAATCAGTTTTCTGAAGATTCAATAGATAGCCTTTTTTAAATGTTGCTTGCTGCCCTCCCCTATATATATATAGCATTCTTGAAGAAAGCGCATGCGAGTCAAATCAACAATATCCTTGCAGATTGGTTGTAAGGGAAATTTTATTTCACCATGAAGACACAAGTCATAATTTTGCTCTAATCTATGGTGATTAAAGATATGATATCAGTTTGGCATGTTCTGTATTATTGGAAATTGTAATTAAATATGTACCAAAGGTACTAAAGAAACTGCAGCACATAAGCAGTGGCCGAGAAGATCATAAAAATGGTAAATTTTGGATGGACTTCTTGAAACTATTAATTCATTTCCGTTCAACTAAACAGTAATGGACCATTTACAGCCAACAAATCCGAAATTGCTTACCTAAGAAACTGCAAGCCACAGAATTGATGTAGCTTCTAGCCTCGATAGAATCAAGACCAAGAACGATAATGTTGAAATCATTATAAAAATCTATCTCCTTTTCCTCAATTCTACAGAAATGAGGTGTGATATTCACGCCAGAAACTCTCTCCATCACGCGCTTAGCAGCAACCACAGCCTTTGACTTCCCAACATCCTGAAGCCTGAATTATCACATTAGTGTTTAGGCGCATCAATAGTGAAAAACAATCTAATAAAGATGACAGGAGCTGTCAATCAAATCTAAGAACTAGAATGGATGAACAGAACCAAAAAAAAAAAAAAAATCAGAGCGCCAGGATGAGTGAATCGACCAAAAAAACATTGGCAACAATTACAGTCATGAACAGGCAAAACAGCATTTGTTTAGCAGTTTCTTCAGTAAGTGTCATCTTTTCCAATACATCCGATTAGAAAACCTATGGCACTTTGAACTATTCACTTCAGGTTCATCTAGCTTGAAGGGTTAGGCTGCTAATTTAAACAGGTAAGTGAAATCTTCATCTTAAAGTCGTGGGGAAAAAAAAAACATAATATAATCTAGAGAAAGCATAAAATAAAAAACGTTCTTGATGAGCGTTTGTCCATTGATGGATTCGACCATCTTTGTGTAACTCGGTTCTAAAGAACAATGCGATGTTTTCAATAGTTAAAACCGAAGAATTCCATTATTGGGAAGAAAACAATGATCTATGTAAGCTTAAAAACTCAAAATATTATGGCTTGCGTAGGCTATTCAAATGTCTAATCGGAACATAAAAGTGTCTGAAACTATACATTCAGTAAATCAGCCACGACTTCACTAGCAACTTCAAAATCTCTACGACGAAAAATATGTAATTTAAAAAGAAAACAACTTGCTCCACAAATGGAGGGAAAGCCAAGAGCAAAATAAAAGATGAAATGGGACCTGAAGAGAAACTGCCGGTTGAGGTTGGAGATCTCTATGGTATCCATATCGATGACGTCGATGTTAGGAAATCCAGAGAGCGCAAGGTCCTTGAGTAGTTCGCAGCCGAGCCCACCGGCGCCCACCACCAAAACTCTGGCGAATTCCCCGATATCCTGCCGAAGCTGCACAAAAATCAAGAAATGATGATCTAAACCGGATTAAGAAGATAAAAAGACTCGAATCTCGTTAGAGGGTAAACGGAAGAAAATTACCTGAGGGCTCGGCTCAAAGCCAGGGCCAACAATGTTGCCACAGCGGGCGAGAAGCTTATCGAGGTCCCTCCATCTTGCCGGCTCGGAGAAGGAGTTCGCCATTGGATTCTTGTTCCACCTTCAGAAGAGGGCGAAAACCCTCCAAAAAACTGTTGGAGGGAATGCCGGGGAAGAACTGCGGAGCCCTTTGGCTACTGCGCTCTCGATTCTTCGATGCCACGCACAGTATCTTTGGTGATGAGAAAAGCCTGGTACAGCGCCGGGAGGACCGTCCGATCATTTGCTTTGCGAATCCTTTCGAGGTAGGGCTCACCTTAAATTTCCTCAAAATCTATAAAAATCGAATAACTATTATATATAACTGTATATAATTACTTATATTTTTTAATACAATTCTAACCTTTCTTTTTAATTATTCAAATAAATTTACTATTTTATTTTAATTATTATGATTAATTAATAATTTTAATCATAGTTATTATTTATGCTATTCTTCCTCAAAATCTATAAAAATCGAATAACTATTATATATAACTGTATATAATTACTTATATTTTTTAATACAATTCTAACCTTTCTTTTTAATTATTCAAATAAATTTACTATTTTATTTTAATTATTATGATTAATTAATAATTTTAATCATAGTCATTATTTATGCTATTCATACATCACATATTTATTAAATGTACCTTTTATTTAATTCAATTATCATTTTAATAATACATAAAATTCAAATTTGAAGAAGTGGAAGCATCTCAATTATGAAAATTAAAAATATTTTTTAAATTTTTTATTAATAATTTAATTTATTTCAATAATACATAAATTTTATGCTTCAAGAAGCCCAAACATATCAATTAAAATTTCAAATATATGTTTTTAAGAATGGGACGGTTCAATTGATATCTCAGTTAAATATATAAATAAATATATTTAATATAAAAATAAAACACTTAATTTAATATTAATTAATAAATTAGTTTAAACATAAATATTTTTTATTTTTAAATAAGCCTAAGTTTATATAACAATTATTTACCATCTAAACACTAACACAACATGCTGATATAATCTCACCACCCTCATGTGATCTTTTAACATATAAAAATAAAAAATCTACATAAACAAAATAAAACAAAGCTCTCAAGTGATGTGGGACTAAAAACTTAGTTTAAATTTACTAATTGAAAACACATATATTATAAAATTTTAAACAGATTTTCGCTTGAGTAGATCTAAAACGGAATATATGGAGTGTAATTTTAGTAGTAATAGACCTAGTGAGGGGATTGTGACTTTGGGCGATTAAGTCATTAATAAGAGTACACGTTTTAAGAATATCTTGGATCTATTTGTCAACGTGATGGTGAAATAGATGGGGATATTAATCAAGCAGAAATCAAATGTTGGATGGGTTGAACGTGGAGAATGCATCGGCTTGTTTATGTGATAGAGAATGACCCTCAAACTAAGTGGAAAATTCATAAGATGATGTGAGCGCCTGCAATGCTTTATGGTGCCGAATGTTGGCCTTTAAAAGAGAAGCATAATACTAAGTTAAGTGTGGCAGAGATGAGGATGCTCAGGTGGAGAGTGGCTTTACCCTAGAGATAGGATAGAAATGAGCATATACGTGAAAAGGTTGGAGTAGCTCCAGTAGAAGATAAGATTAGAGAAAGTCGCCTTAGATGGTTTGGTCACATAAATGGCGGCCTTGTGATGACCCGGTTAGGAGATAAGAGGTATTAGATTTGACTTATGTTAAGAAAGGTAGGGGTAGACCTAAAAAGACCTTGGTTAGAAAATATTAGTGAATGACCTTTCTTTATTAGATTTAAACGAGAATTTGACTTTTAATAGGACACAATGGAGAAAAAGGATTCATGTAGCCGACCCCACGTAGTGGGATAAAGGCTTGATGTTGTTGTTGTTGTTATTGTTGTATTTTGTTAGTTAATTATATTGAATTTTTTCTATTTTATTTTTAATTTTTTAAATACACATCATTAAATTTTATTTTTTATCTATTTACTAATTATATATAATCTAACATGAATGATTTATAGATGTAAAATTATAATGTGAATTTAATATATAGTTTATGATTGTAAAATTTATCTAAATATATAATTTAAATTAAATCTAAAATAATTTAGTAATATTTTCTATTAAAAAATATAATTTTATATATAAACTAAATTTATTTGTAACATCAAAGTTATATCATTATATATTTATTCTAACATTATTATATTTTTAATTTTTTATTCAAATAATTATAATATTTATTACATCATCTGCCTAAACCCTCAGTTCAAATTTGGTCGAATCATTGAACCTTCAACCTCTCATTTTTTCGGTTTGATTTCCGATTTGATTTTCACAACCTTGAAATAGAGTAAACTCAACTGAATAAAGATATGTCATTCTTATTAACTTGTCTTTGTTGAATAAATCTCATATTGAGTGATTTGAAATGATAACCTATAATGATGGGTTGAACTAGAAACTCATACTCCCCCTCTTTAAAATGATTGACAGCTTTTTCGGGCTAACACCAAGCTTTTCAAACTCACTAGCAGCATATCCCTGAAAAAATTACATACAAAACTTAAGCTAGAAGAAGAAAATAATAAGACAATAATATGCTTGCAATGCAGTAAGTTATAATAAAAGTTTAAATCAATTTCAGGAAAAAATAGCAACGGTAAGAGAATAATCTTAAGATTAAAACATGTGATCTTATTTGTTGAATTCAAAATTTTCCATGAAAGATACTCGACTTTACTAACAAGCCTGTTTGAAGTGTTGAGAAACTTGTGAGTGAGAATGAAGAATGTAAAGAAAGAGTGAATGAGAACTGGATATCTCAAACAGGTAAAATTTTCCTTACTAGTCAATGAGATATTTTCGTTTGTATTTCTTCTAGGGTGTCCACTAAAATTGTTCTCATCATCCCCTATTTTATAGGATTATTGGGGCTACATAAAAATAATAAAAATACAATGCTAAACAGATTACGTATACAACGATACACCAAAATTACACGTCTTGCCCCTGATTGGCGGGAGAGCTAGGATGCAGGATTTGACCCTTGGTAAGTGAGCTTGAGGACGAGTTAGAGCATAGCTAGATGGACTTGGTAGTGTGAGGATGATTGGGATTTGAGGACAAACTACTTTGAGTCTTGGATTGTTGTGAGAGAATAATGAGTGAACTAAGGTAGTCGAGAGAATACACTAAGGTCGTCGTTGGTAGAACAAGTAAGGAGCCCTGGTTAAGAACATTCATATAACTAAGTTTGGATAAGGAGATGATAGCTCTAAAGTGAGAGCTAATAGCTGAGGTAGCGGCAGGTGGCAATCTGCTTGCTTGACAAACAATCTTCGATTCACCTCATATAGGGAGAGCTCCTTAGTTGGCATAGGTGACTGTTCTAATGGAGGGTGGCTGTCCTCATTATAACCCAATAACTATTTGCTAAAACATCCATGAAGATATTTATGTATATGATGAGTGTTCTATGTCTTATTATTGACAAAAATTACAGAGATGCATTCAATACAACACATCATATGCCTAACTTCAAATTAAGATATTTTAAATATTACGCCTGATTGTATACCATTATATATATTTTGATTACATTTAGGTTTATTTTATAATAATTTAGATCTATGGGTAGATAGTTAGAGATGTTTGTCAATTTTCATTTATTTTAAATAAAGATTGTCGCATTAAATTAAGTTCATAAGAAAGGATATGCATTTAATTACTTCTTATAATTCATTTAATTATTGTAAATGATATACATTCAATTATGTTGTATTAAACTATAGAATGTTATATTACATGTATCATAACTATTATTATTGCACTATTTGTTTTAAAAGTAGTAGTCTATTGTTGTGTTAAAATTATATTTTGTTATATTAATGTTGTTCATATATTATGATGTGCTTTGTAAATGATATTATAACTTATATTTGAATGAACATGTTATACTATTTTATTATTTATTTGAACATTATTCTAACTTTAGTAAAAATCTTAATAGAACATGTTCGAACTTTTTTAGAAGATTAGAAGTCCAACTGACGGAATTATCCAAATTTCCCTTGGATAGGAGAAGACAATAAGAGATTAACAAAAATTGATGAAATTAATTAGCAATGAGTATCATAAAATTGATTGCAAATAGGCTTTAATGAAAAAATATGAATTTTTAAAACATAGTTAGTGTGAGCTTCCAAAGATGCTTGCAAGAAATGTGATTCTAAGTAGAGTGCATTTTAATTATAGGACTCAAGGTTTCCCAAAAGAACAAGTTCGTAAGGTTAATTGCATCCTATATGTATTCAAGAACACTCTTGATTCAAGAGTTAATGCTTGTGTGTAAATCAAGTGAGAACAATGTAGATTTTGTAAGTCAAAATGTATTTTATGGGGCACTAAAGTTGTTGAAGGGAGGAATCTCCAAACATTCAAAAAAAATAGACTAAGGGTTTGTTTGGGACAACTTTCTCACTGCTTTACTCTGTAGACTGCAACCACGGTTTCGTTTAATTATTGCTTTCTTGTTGCTTTCTCATTTCTACTTGAAAATTTTTGTGGTTGGAAGTTGCTTTTACATCTAAAGTTGCTAATATATCGCAACTTTAAGAAAGCAACTGTTTTATTTTTTTAATAACATATTTGTAATATCCAAAGAGTCTTAAAAAAGGTTAATTCCCTCACAATAAGTTCACAATCACATTTACAAAACGCTACAACCTTCCCAAACATCTACTTAATATGTTAGAAGTGATATCAAATCAAGACATAGCTTACGGTATGTTTAGGATGGCTATAACATTTTATAAAGGTATTTGTGAAGTTATTGTCTAAAAAATATTTTTTAAAACTACTGTGGATGTTATAAAAATACTCCTTTTTAATCAAATAACTACTTTCTACAAGCTACCACACATTAGTAACTCTGGTGGTAAAAAGTAACTTTCCACCATAGAAATATATAGAAAGCAATGAGATAGCAACAAGAAAATAGTAGCCATATGGAACTGTAGTTGTGATCTAAAAAGCAATCTAGTGAGAAAGATATTCTAAAAGGGCCCTTAATCTTGTATTGTCACAACCTGGCCAGCTATGACCAAATACCACACATGTTATACTGTGTCTGATCGTGACAAGAATCATAAATTGACCCCAAGATAAAGTTGAAGAAGTGCTGGAAAAAAAATAAACTTATAATTTACACACACCACAAGGCAGACTGAATATAAAATAAAGTGGAAGATTATATATCGAAATAATTTTTCCATGTAACATCCAAAAATAGATATACAATTTGAGATATATCTACAACAACACTTGGAAACAAAGAGAACAATAAAATGAAAGCTAAGCCTGCAAAATTGAACTAGCCAAAACATACATGCAACATAGGTCAGAGCCTATTATCGCACCACTCAGCTTGCTTCTTACCTTTTTCCTTGACATGAAAATGGAAAGATGAAGCTTAAACTAAATCAAATACAGATATTAAATGCATTTCAATAACTACTGAATGTGTACAAAAACTTATTTAAATATAAATAAATACCTTATAACAAATAACTGATAATCCTCAAGCTCAAATTTTCAGTATATACAAAAAAATTTGTTCTTCTATATTCCAAGCCTCATTCACATCTTCATCTAAATACATAACATAGTACAAATAGCATCAAAATAGAACTTATAATGTGCCATTGGCACAAGAATATGAATACATAGTATAGTGCATATAATATCTTATAGAATTTATAAAGTGCCTTTGGCATCAAAATCTGAATATATATCATAGTACACATAACACAAAATAAAATAAATACGAATGGCTGCATCAACAAAAACAACACCAACAAAGACTTTCATCAACAAGATGATCAAGTCAAGCTTCTTAGACATCCTTGCTTCAAAGCCTTAAAATTCATTAGGTGTACCATAAGACGTCTCTTTTACGTCATCCGTCCATTTAAAGTACCCGCAGTTATATTCCGTTTGATTATTCATGCACCTATAAAATTGCCTTCTAGAATTAGGTCCACGATAGCAAGTATACACCGCACACTTCATGTGACAGTGGCAGTAAACTTGAGAACGTGGGCGTCTGTCTTTCATAGGAGAAGAATTTGTTGAACTCATTTGTAACGGCGCACAATTTATCAACAAATTTGGAATATACATGAATAACATTGTGACTAGTTTTATACAAATTTGAAATGTCATTAAATAGTTACAGATGAAGCTATTAACCAAAACTCCTTCAAACGATTGGTTCTAAAATTTTTTGGAAACACTAAAAAAGGTTGAGTGATCTACAAGAGAAGTTGCAGCTTTAATCGGGAAAAAAAAAATGACAACACTGAGATGACAAAGCTCGCAATAGGAGTTCAATATTGACAAAGGTGAGCAAAAGTACAAAGATCACCTGAAAGACACAACTAGCAGTAGGAGCGGATTTTATCGGGATTTCACTGTTGTTTTCGTTGAAGATATGCCAACTGGTGGTACAAAAAGCAAGCAAAGGGAGGAGTTCGCTGGGAAGAGCACGCACAGTTTTAGTTATGCGGGAGGAGCCAGAGGAGCACGGAAGTAGCTTGCGTGGTTAGGAATTGATGTAGCTTTCGTGGGAAAACACTGCTCACGCGACGGAGTGAGGTTTTGCGGCCACGGAGTGATATTTTTGATTTTATGTTTGTATTTGAGTGATATAAATGAAACATTTAAGTTTAAGATGTTAAATATATAATATGGGTGTTATAGAGTAGTATACATATATGTAAATCCCCTTTTTTTTAATATCTATCTTCCACTTTGTCCTTCAGTGCATCGTCTGGGACGCCTGCACAAAGGGTCAAGGATCCAAAGAGGAATTATGGCATCTGCAATGCATAGGGCTAGGGCATCGGCCGCGTTGGCCCTACGCGGCGTTGAAGCTGCTGTTTTGGTGGCGGCGTCGGCCAACTTGGGGAGGAGGGCTTTCGCTTCGCTCGCTGCTGGCACCGACATCGTCTCCGCTGCTCCGGGCGTATCCCTCCAGAAAGCGCGCAGCTGGGACGAAGGCGTTTCCTCCAATTTCTCCTCCACTCCCCTCAAGGACATCTTCGAGGTGCTTGTTGTCTCCTCTCTATAATTCTATTTTTGTACTTTTTTTTCTAATATTTTGTGTCGTGATTCATGGTTTCACTATTCCTACTGTGGTTTTCCAGGGAAGGAAGGTGGTTATTTTTGGATTGCCTGTAAGTTTATCTGTCCCCCTTTTGTCTATTTATTTATTTTTAAAATTTCCCTGATGCTTCGAATGGTCAATTGGTTTGCTGATTCCTTTTAACTATGTTTTTTTTGGGGCACCTTTTGTGATTATTATGTCGGGTTGTGGTATTCTATTCAAGGAACATGCAATTGAGATTTTGTTGGTCGATGGCCAGGAGAGATGGCCGGCTATTGTTGTGAAAATAAACCCAATTGTACATTTTTTTATTGAATAATTGTTTGAGTCTCAGGCCTTTTTGAACTAAAATTTATGCCTCAAACGAGTGAATTGTAGAAGAAATTCAGTGCAAAGAATGCTTTCTAAAAAATAGATATTAGCTTCCCATCACGCGGTCAGTCAAGTTTTTTGCTACAATTCTTTCTTAAAGTCAATTAAAGCATGTATTCAGATCTTTTCTAGGTAGTGGTAATTGTACAATGTGCAATTGCACTTCCTAGCCATCCAATGCTGATTGGATGACCATAATTGATTATACCAAGCTGCTTTAAAACCAACAATGATTTTGAACCAGTTTGGTATAATCAATCTTCGCCATCTAAAGTGCATCGGATGGCTAAGATTATTTTCACAATGTGGTTAATATGAATATATTATAGATACAATGAATCCTTATATGTTAATCAATAAGTGGAGGAAATGTTCATATTTTGTAGTATTTTATGTTTGCTACATATCTTTAATAGTGTGTGCCTTCGGTCCGAAGCTTTCGAAGGCCGAAAACTATGTTGAAACAATTAAAATTAGGGACAAATAGTTGAACGCTTGGAAACAACCGAAACTATTAAATTTCATAGTTGAGGGACAAGAGCTTTGTGCAATAGGTGACTCCCGTCTATATAATAGAGCAGGACAATGTTTTAATGAATAACTAAATAAATGCAAGCACTTTCCAAATATAAAGAACTTTTCTATCTTGACATTTTTCCTATTACAACACTCCCTTATACACTTGAGCGTGTATATTAATCATATACAATTTGTTGCATATGTTTGAAAATTGAAGCTATTTGAGAGCATTGATAATGATATCACCACTTGTTTTTCGTTGACAATATAAACGATGATCTTCGACAAAATCATGTGCATGATAAAGTGAGAATCAACTTTCATATGCTTAGTTATTTTTATGGAAAGATTGGATGTCTGGTAATATAAATGGTAGCTTGATTATCATAGTTTAAAACCATAGGTTGGCTAACAAAAACCCCAAATTCCTTAGTAAGGGGTTTTTCTCAGCATCATTTCTTAAATTGAGTGGGTCATAACTCTTTTTTTTTTCTTTAGCACTAGATTTGACGACAACTATTTTCTTCCTACTCTTTCAATTTGCAAGATTTTCACCAACCAAGATACAATATTTAGAAATTGATTTTCTATCCAGAGGATTCAATATAATCAACATTTGGATAAGCCTCATCTCTTAGGTGCTTATTGCTTTAATGGACTAGTACTTTAGCATGAGATATCTTCACATATTTTATAATTCTTAGGACAACCTCTCAATTACTTATTTGGATTAGGCATAAGTTGATTGACTACACCAAAAACAGAGAATGTATCAGGTCTCGTGGCAGTCAAATTGATAAGCTTACTCAAAAAGAATATGATAATGAGAGAGATCTATTTTATCATTAGCTAAGTCAAGGTCAGGAAGGTACTTTGGGCTCCTTAGATATTTTGTCACAAATATTTTTTGAAAGATATTACTTTATTTTAACAATGAATAAAGTGTCACTTCGAGTGAGAACAATGCAATCAATATACATAACAAGAATAACCATGCTAGGTGATGACTGTTAGGAAAATATATAATGATTCAGAGCATGACTGTAGTCTGACATCACCTGGAACATTGTGTTGAACCAAGCAATGGACTTTTTAACCATTATATAGCATTTTTTAAGCTTGCCTATCTTGTTTTTTCCTTGAGCAACATATGCAAAATATTGTTCCATATAAAATATATCCTCGGAGAAATCTGTTGCTACCATCTAGTTATAGCATAGGTCATCTTTAATTACTGACATTAGAGAGAAGAAGGCAAACAAATTTTAAATGTTCAGTTGGGAAGAAAATCTCAAAATAGTCTATGCCATAGACTTGAGTATATCATTAACAACAAAGACCCAAATAAGTCAAATGAGCTTAACCCTAGGAGTGCGTGTAACCAAATATCATATATGATGATCAATAAGAGAACTCATTTAAGTGTTCATTGCATGTTCCCATTTAAGGTTCTTTAGATCTTTCTAACATGTCCTGAGAATAAAGTTAACTGAAAAATACAAGGCAAACTAATGAAAAGAAGAGGATAGATTATATAGGCCATATAAGAGTGAAGTGGATGTTTGATACTTTGGTGTTTACCATTTTGTATAGCAATATAAAGATGTAGAACCGAAGGCACAATTTTAAGCGGATGCTTAGCCATAGTAGATGAGGAGGAAAGTGCTTCAATAAGAGGCGAACAAGGTGGTTTGTGAGTATAAATGTGCAAGGAAATAGAAGTAAGTATTGGGGTTATAGATGCAAGTGAGTGGACATATGAGCATTTTTCATGCCCAAACCCAATTTAACCCTTACACTATTGTAGATTATGTTGATTTAGGGTGGGCATATAAGGAGAACATTTTCACTATCCAATGTATAACACATTCAGATCTGTCAAATAGTTCCTTCAAAACCATGGTCATTTGAGTTTTTCATATTTCAGTTTGTATACACAGCCATTAAATTTGTTACAAAATAACGGGTAAAGAAACATAAGCTTTCTTTTAAAATGATTGTAATGTTTGTAATCCAAAAAAATAGATGTACATAATTAAAAAAAGAAGCACATATACATCAAAACATCATGCAAACATATCGATCTTCATGCTATATTATATCAATGCCTTCCTATTTCCTGAAACCAATGGCACATACAAGTGAAAATACATTAAGAATAAAATCCAGTAGGTCATATAATCTAAATTCAATGTACAAAAAGAAAGGACAAAGCACATTCTTACAATGTCATTATATTAAGACATTATTCATGCATGCTATGCCTTGCCATGTTCATGTATGTTGCTTCTTGTTCATGTTCATATCTCATGTTTTATCATTTGTAAGCATGTGAAGCTAAGTACTTAGAGCATGCTATACCACTATTGTAAACATGTAAGGAGATTATGCATGCAAGTAATGCATACTTCGTACCTAATCATTCCATGTAAGTCATGAATTGACATGTTCATTCATATCTTACATAGGATGAATCATCACCCATCATATCATAGTCAACACAATATGCTTTCCAAATTAATGCCATGGTTGCCTCCTTGGTACTATTTAATGCCCTTGGTGTCTTCATTCATTTAATGCCCATTAACTACACATAACTTGGACTCTTATGTGCGTACTATTGATTTCTTTTGTATACGTTTAGGGCAGTTTCCTCTCTATCATTAATATAATCAAGTTCATCAACTTGCCTCCTATAGGGATGATCATACATCTACCAAATTGTGGAGCTCATGGACATTCTTCCCTTCGCATAACATACACATCATTTGTGCATCCTTCATTCATATCTCATGCACAACATTTCACAATATTAAGAGAACACCTGCCATACACATTGGTGTATGTAGAGCCGTGCATACACCATGATAACCATTTCAATCATATGATATCTTAGATGCCACATGCAGGTTCATGTAGTAAATTGTGTAATATCTCATTTATCTCTATTGAGGCATGTAGGATCACATGTTCACCATCATAACCATAAAAGAATGCATGCATACCATTTGCACCCTTGGAAATGTTTTGATGCATGGTCGTGCATGCTATGCCATATATGGATGTTGACTTCTTTTTTGACAAAGTTTAAATACTGGCACCCAAACTATAAATCCCTGATATCAAATTGTCACCCTAGCCCTTGGATTACCCTAGTTAGGATTTTAGTCCCTTTAGAGGCATCATTATCTCATAAGCTTGATAGGTGAACCTAACTCCCTTAATGAACTAGGAGGATATATTGAGTCTTGGCTTAAAGTCTAACCTTATGCCTTAGACAATCCTAACCCTTATTAGGACTACCAGGACCCTAGGATACCCCTCCCCCTTGGGTTGATTGATGTCACATTGTTATGATCTTGTCCAATTGGATCCCTTAGCGGTGCCACCTCCTTGGGAGCTTTCTACCAATCTACCCCCATGCTTAGCTAACATCCCTTTTTGTGGTTATCCAATGCTATCTCAGTTGGCACCTGGTGCTACCTTCCCTTCCAGTAACTCTTGTTCTGATGCCATCTAGTCAACGTTGGCTTTGTGGTGACATCTTCTCAAGATCATCGCCCATGATGTGATCATTAACATCATTCCACACAATGTTATCTCTCCCGGCTCCATCCTATTAGCCTTTCAGGAATTCTCCCATTGGTAGAGCTCTATCGGTGTTTTGTCTTGAGAAGCCATCTCATCAACAACTTCTTCCAGGAAGTTTGATTTCTTGGTAATTACTCTTGAGAAGTTATGCTTATTAGTGACTTCTCATAAGAAGGCATTTCCTTATTTACACCCTATTTTTTCAGCCTTTAGTTGACATCCTGTTAGAACTGACTTATCAACTCCATCTCTTGTAGTTGATGGGTGTTTGACATCCATATTTCCTTATTAGTCCTTGGTTGACAACTTCTTGCCTTGGCACCTAGTATTGCATTCTTAGCACCATCTTATCTTGTTGACCCTTGGTCGATAAATTCTTACCTTGGTGCATGATGCTTTCTTCTTAGCGTCATCTTAATATGTCAACCATGACATCTTCACCTTGTAAGTCCTCCTTCTCAACCCCCTCTTTTGGTTAGCCTTTGTCATAGTCGAGTTATCCACACTATCTCATCCACTTTGCCTTGACATTATATGTTGACTTCTTGGCACCATCTTTCCTTGTATGCTTATAATCGGCGATTTCCTACCTTGGTGCCCTACAACTTCTTGCTTTTGCTGGATCTCATATTTTTGGCTCTTGGTGGACTTCCTGCCTGGGCTCCTGACTCCATCTCATGGAGTCATCCTATTGACCCTTGGCCAACGACTTCTTCCCTTGGCGTTAGCTGCCAACTTCTTGATAATGCTTTGCATTGTCAGACATGTCCCATGCCAACTAGTTTCTCACCTCATGATTTTCCTTGGATTCCAAACCATTTGTCAATTGTCAGTTTAATCTATTGTTAACACTTGATAATTAGATATCAATGTGCAGGCCCTCAAAGTTGGAATCCATCGGTGTCTACCTAAGAATGCTGGTCAAGATTAAAGAGGAAATATTTTCTTTGGCATATGGATCAACATCCAAAGCCCTTTTGGTGCCTTTTGGCATTTTCAAAGGGGGAAACAAAATCCTTATTTGGGGTTCTCCTAGCGAACTTGACTCTCCATAGCTTTAGACCTTTAAGAGCTATTTTCTATTGTCTTCCCCCTTTGTTTAGAAGAAAGGATACTTCGATTGCTTTCCTTAGGAGGAGCTACTCGGTGGCATTGAATTACTCTGAAGAACAAAAGCTCAAATCCTAGGACGTCAACAAACTCACGCGGCATGTATAATTGTTGATAACTAGCACCTTTATTCTTCTTTTGTTTTCGAAAATTAGCCCATTCTTTTTATTGAATTGCTCTTCTTGACCTCTCTTAAGCCATCATTGAGCCCCCCACTTGAGAAGCCTCCCTTCACTCAACTCCTTGTGGCAGTAGGGAGGTTTCACTACCCTTTAAGAGGTAGTACCTAGGCTTTTGTAGGTATCTATTGGACCCCATTGGAGGAGGGCCTTGTTGTCCTAATTAGGGGGTTAGGGAGCCCTAGTCGACAAGTGCTATGCATTAATGTTGTCGGCATTAATGTTGTCGTACCCCTACCGTTTCCTTTATTGCCTTTGACTTAGGCGAGATGTCATTCTAAACTAAGATGTTTTGTCTCGGTGCCTCAATTTCTGATGACTTTTTGTCGTTCTTTGGGTCAACTTAACATAGTTCCATTTTTGAATCACTTGCCATCTCTTTTTGAGACAATTTGTTTCCCCTTCTAAGGATCACTTGTCATCTTGCCTTGAGATAATTTGTCGTCACCTCATTTGGAGAAAACTCTATCTTCATGTAATGCCTGCATTCTAGGGCGCTGCCGCATGTCATCCACTGACTGCTCAACATATCGACCCCTTGACGGCAACTCGCCAACATTGGTACATGAACTCTTTGCCAATAGTGTTGTTATTAGAGACCTTCGCTCGCTTCCTCCAATGACTTAAAAAAATTCCTGTTCAACAACCTAACTTGCATGTACTTTTGCGTTTACATGCTGGGAGACTTGCGGCCCAACATCATCTAAGCTGTCAAGTTGGAATCGTGTCGTTTTCAATCTAACCATACACCTCACATGCAGCCTCTGGCCAAATAACCTACCAACTCCCTAGATGTCACTCAGGTCTCCAGCCTCGCCAGCTATGGGTCTTTCCCCTTTTTTTTAATTCTTTTATTTTTTTTTATTTTTTTAATTTTTTTTTTATTTTTTTATTTTTATTATTATTATTTTTTTAGGGTCTTCCCCCTTAAAAAAACAACTATCGTTGGCTCTTTTCCTAGAGCCATTCCAATGATGATCTATTGGTAAATTAATAAGGATTTGTGTACGAGGAAGTTAGTGAGAGTTTTTTGTCATTGAATATATTTAATAATAAAAAGTTACTGAAATCAAACTAAAAAAATTAATCTTATTATTGATAAAACAATCGAAACTATTAATACTGAAAATTTCATGATTGGATTTAAGCCAGAGCCAAAACTAAATTTTAAAATTTTGATTCTAACTTTTGATTTATCTCACCTACAATCTGATATGACATGAATGCTATCAAGTACCATAGGCAGGCTGGTGAGTTTTTATATTTTCCAGCCGTAGTTGCTGCTGTGCTCCTTAAACCCGTTTAAAAACTTTGTGATCTCATTTCAGTGTAGATGAGGGGTGTTGGATGGTTCCAGGATACATTTAGGAACATAATCTTAACTGCTAGCTTCATTAGTTATTTTAAAATCCTGGAACAAAGATGATTGCAAATTTCCTTTTAAGCACTGTGGGATCTTCCTAGAACCGTGTGACCTGTCTGCAGACTCTAATTGCGCACCTTATTCTCTGGCCTTGCTGAGTGGCATTTTCATTAACAACCTACTTGGGTGTGCTTCTTATTGTGAAGCGCAAGTCAAAACAACTATTTTTAATTGTTTTGTGGCCTCACACTTAAAACTACTTGACTTGGACTGCTCTAATATTAAACAATTTTATTTTTTTAGTTTATGTATACATGTGTTTTTCAATTGGGCTTCCCTGATGCTCTTTTCCTTGTGCTAATTATCAAATTATATGATGTTTATTTGTACGTATTGAATTTCACATATAATCTACCTTCACCATTGATATTACCAGGGAGCTTATACTGGTGTCTGCTCACAACAACATGTTCCTAGCTACAAGAATAGCATCGAGAAGTTTAAAACTAAAGGAATAGATTCTGTTATTTGTGTTGCTGTTAATGATCCATATGCTTTGAATGGTTGGGCAGAAAAACTTCAGGCCAAGGAAGCAGTGAGTCTCTTCCTCTTGTTCTTTATTTTATTAATTTGTAGTTGTTTGACGAAAATTCTTTTCATCGAAACTGAAGCTATATTCATTTCAACTCTCAAGCATATTCATTTTAGTTGTAGTTAGGTCCTGTGAATAATAACTAAAAAGAAAATTTTGATGATTAGTAGTAGTTTATCTGATTATTTAGTTCATTTCTATTTCCTTTTTTATAACATAGGAATGAATTTTGGAATCATTGCTTTCATAAATTTGTTGAAAGGCTTTTAATAACAATTTTGTTCAAACTTGTGTAATCTTCTATTTGGGAGGAATTCCCAGTTTTTTTTTCTCCTTTTGTAATTTCTATTTACTTGCTTAGATATTTTTTTAAAAAACTTTCCTGTGGCCTACTTGTGCAAAGTACTTATGCAAAGTTACTCATGAATGATGCTTACATGTATAACTATAGAGCACAGTTGAGTTATTTTGAATACATTGCTGGAAGCTATTCAAGTATATTTTCATCATGGTTCGATCAGTAAGTGAAGATGAATCATAAATAACATCAGATACTTTGCATCAAATGGCTATTGGAATGAAATGAAAGTTTGTAGTCTTATATTCGTGACAAATGAGATATTTCAAATATGTTTTATTTCCTGTAATTACTATGTATTAACTGTAGGTGGAAAAAAATTCTTACATGTTATTTCTACTTATGCCACCACAAATTTTAGATTGATTTTTATGGGGATTTCGATGGAAGCTTCCATAAGAGCTTGGAATTAGATGTGGATCTATCTGGTGCTTTGTTGGGGCGCCGTTCTCATAGGTACATCTTTACTATATGGTACTAGCAATATCCTTAGCTGTATATTTGTTTGACATGAAATGAATAAGGTTCATAACCACCTTTGGTTTCTGCATATTCAAATTAGTTTTCATGTTGCAAAATGTTGTATCTGTATTTGAAGTCATTTATAAGATGTTGAAGTAGGCTTCTATCAGGTAAAATTTTCAGTTATTTTATTGAGGGTTGAAAGTCATATTTGAAAGACTAAGCAAATAGAAATATAATATCTGCCAGACAATACAATCTATGCTGCTTTTTTTCTGTGTTAGCCTTCAAATCAGCTGAATATGACACGGTTATCTGTAATATTTATTTCTGTATTTTCACACACACTCACAGGCCTACATGTCTGGGCATATACTTATATAAGTTCGAGGGTCTATTTAAAGATGTATTTGACTAGCAAATACATGCCATCCTTATCCATATTTGAGAAAAAATGGATAGAATTGCAAGTGACATTAAATCCTATTTTGTTTTAATAAGAAATACAAATTCTATTAGATACTACTATACTAGGTTAATCTTCAAATCAGGTAAATATGAGACAATTATTGGTAGTCTCTGATTCTTTATTTTCACATACACTGAGAGGCATGTATAGCTGTGCAAGCTTATATAAGGTCATTGGTGAATTTAAAAATGTACTTCACTAGCAAATTCATGCCATCCTTATCCATAATCAGTACTTTTTAAATGTGACCTAGCCTGATAGAAAAATGAAATGAATTGCAAGTAACGTTAAATCTTATTTTGTTGTTCACATTGGTAATCCACTAACTCTTTGCAAGGCAAGTATTTCTTCCCAATGTAAATCCAAAATAAGTGTAAATAATCCCAAATGATAAAGTAAAGAAAGCCATTAATTGAAAGTTGAAAAGAAAGTCTGAGAACAACATAAAGTCACATAGGGATTAGGAGTCAAACTGCCAAAAGTAGAATTAAATTGTTACAAATTTGATCAAATCTAAGTCACATGTAAAACCAATCATAGAATGCTTTAGATAAAAAAGAACACGGATAGAAGTCATCAAAAAGATGATCCAATCTTCATGCTAGAATAAGAATTATCTTTCAAAAGTTATTGTCACAGCTTGCATTGCACTCAAAAAATTTATATTCAATTAGCAAACGCAAGTTCGAGGGAAATTTCAGAATTTTATTGAACCATTTAATGAGTTTTGCATGCCTAGAGATCTCTTATTTATAATCAAACCTAGACCACACCTGGTATAGAGAAAACTCGCTAGACTTGATCCTGACAAATAAGATGCTGCAATCTAATCCATGCTTTGCAAAAGGCAAAATCATAGCTAAACGGGGGAGATTCCTTATTGAAAGAAAGCAGGAAATCACAATCAACAATCTGCTATAGTTCCCAAATCAGAAGATTATGGTTTTTGCTATAATGCAAGATCAGGATTCAACTAGAAAGGTAACGCAACACTAACCAAACTTCTAGAATTCCACAATGACATCCTTTTCCAATTCAACAATTACAGCAAATCAAGTGACCAAAAACTGGAGACTGACATAACAAACAGAGTTCAAAAAATTTCAATGAACCAACTCTTAGATTTGAGCAAAACCATTAAACTAATGAAGAGAACACAATATGTTCTCATAGACACCATCATCATCATAGGTGTGTTACAAATATGAACTAGAAATAAAATTAAAAAAAAGAAATGATTAAACCAACATCAATGCACATGATTTGCATATTCATTAAGTATATGTTTTCTTATTTGCAGTAGCCGTTAAATCTATTTCCTTATAAAAAGAATCTAGTTCATGTAGTGTATGAAGATCTAAAGTTGAAGTTTAATTTGAAAAGAAGAAGAACACAAAAATAAATAGAGGTGAGAATCCTTTGTTTTACATATATGGAAAAAAATATTTACATGAAATACAGCTGAGCATAGAGTAATTTTTTGTTCACAAAAGAAAATGCAATAGCACAATATTCATCCATATACAAATCCAAATGATAACAATAATGAAAATGAAAAATGGTTCAAGAATTTTGGCTTACTTTGCTTTTTTTTTTTAGCATGTAATATTTTAATATGTATGTGTGGTAAATGGGCATCAAAGATCTCCACTATGCATAAAATCATTTAACTTGGTAATCATGAAGAGTGTGCATGCATAGGCAGCAACTACTGCAGTGTACATAATATTCCCTATCATAAAAGTTGAGGCTTTTAATCTTCAACCCGTATGACCTCATCTCAAAGCTGAGAGTGAGAAGGGCTTATAACTTATTTTTAAAAATGCAGATATAAAAAGAACACAAAGGAGAGGATAGAAATGATAAAGAAATAATGAAAATGAAATTATTGGGAGTTTTGAAGCATTATTCGATCTAAGGAAAATCATGAATAGAAAACTAAAAAACTTTAGATGGTACATTACTTCTAGTGTGGTTGTGAGCATATAATGAATGAAACTGCTATCTTGAAAAAGGTAGAGGAAGACCTCATAGTGATCTAGGGCTTGAGCTCCATCATGCTTATAAAATTAAATTAGCAAGATTATTCATATATGAGACAATATGGTCAAAATACAATAAATTTCTTATGTTTTCGATGCTCAATTTCCTTCAACATTTTTCCATCTCATTTAACTATCCAATATTTTCTCAACAATTTCACAGTTATTAATCATACAGATTATATCCAAACGGAACTTCATTTGAAGTACCGCTTATTTCGTGCAGGTGGTCTGCATATATAGTTGACGGCAAGGTTCAGTCTCTCAATGTGGAGAAAAAGCCTTCAGATTTCGAAGTCTCTTCTGCAGAGGTGATTTTGGGACAGATATAACTGACTGATCAGGCATTTTTCAGATCATGGAGTCTAGTGGCAGGGTTTGTAATGTTATATAAAAAATATGGGCATTTCTGAATGTGAGGAAGAATAAAGTCCTGGAATTTTTGTAACTGTTATCAGAGCATTATTAATACAAATATAGTTGGTGACATTTTTTTTGTCTGATGCTAAGCAGTTTCTTTTTTATAACTCTCTTGAAGGCAATTGGCATAAATTAAAAGTTTGTTTAAGGCTTTGTTTGGGACGGCTTGTTTACTGCCTCTTAAAATAACATTTTATTATAAATTTTTTAATTTTTTACGTAAAAAATTGTTTTAAGAAACAATAAAAAAGCCTTCTCAAATAAAGCCTAAGTGACTTTAAAATTGCTAACCATCTGAAAAAAGAGGTATTATCTTGAATCATTTTTTGTTATCATGCTAACATGTTGTGGAGAGTTATAATCTTTTTTTTATTTATGCCCTTTCTTTATGTTGCTCATTATTGGTGTGCTCTAAATGTTTTGATTTTGGAAGTTATAGGGCTAAAATTAATTTGTACATTTTATGGTTTCAATAGCAACCAAATTAATTTTAAAAAAAAGTAGACCAATGAACAAGTAATACTTATATTTGTTTCTACCAGTTTTTCAATAAGATCATCAATTCCCTTTAAATAATGGAAAAAAAAAAGCTCTACTATCAAATAAATAAATTTCATTTGATTAACAAGGATCAATAAGTTTAATGAATAAAAATATGAGGAATAAAATTGATAAGTATGATAATTGCTTTGTCAAAGTCCAAAAATTGATTACTTGCAGTGCAAGTATTTTATATAAATATAATGGAGAAATTATTCTCTGGGGAATCCGAACGGAAAGAATCGTTATGACTGTAAGTGTACACTGTGTACAAAAAGTTGATATATATTATGGGCAAATTTATACAGCATGTACACTCACATGTCAAAATAGTTTTTTCCGTCCGGACTCCGCACAGAATAATGTCTCTAATTAATGAGCAAAATAATGTAGACAAAATGCAGAGGATTTTCATTTAAAATTTAACTTCGAAGTCCACTAAATTTGACCATCATCTTGCTTGCACCATCATATCATTTTCATTATATTTTAGAAATATTTAGGCTTTACTTGATTAATGATAACTCCAACACATCTCTAAGAACATATTTTTCTTTATTGGAATATCCTATATCAAACTTCATTTGTTCTTTCTTTAATACAACATATAATTTATCTATGATAAACTTGTTAATAATTGCTTCATAATCAATACACTACCTTTGTTTCATTAAGGCATCCTCATTCTTCCACGCTTAACCAAAAGAGAAATTTTTACGTGCGAAATCTGGACTCCAATCAAAGTAAGTCACGTCATCATGTACACAACCTGTGTAAATTGTATAGGCGACATGCCCTATTTTGATTGGAGTCCAAGCGCCATCCGGATTCCACACATAATAATTTCTCTAACTATGAGCACTACTAAGCCCTTCAATATGCTTTAGATGCAAGTACTCATAACAAACTGACTTCTCTTGTAGAACTTTTTTCATCACCTATATTTAAAATAACATGATATAACTAAATTCAATAAAAAATTAACAGCAAACTTCTTTTTAATCATCAATCATAACATTCTTAAAAAAAATTATAATCATAACTATTATCAATATAAAATAATTAAAATACATTAACTCAATAATACATCATTCAAAAATACTTCAACAATATATGTTGGTTCACACTCAACATGCTTTAAAATATAATAAATCAGTACAAGCAGTGCAAATTGGAATGCAAGCCCTTTCAAAGCATGTCATATAAGCAAAACTGTAGGTCAAATCTACTGAATAAGCTGTAAAACCTTCATACAGAACCCCCTACAAGGCTACAATACAATAAATATGGCATATATTTTCTGTTGAAAAAATTACATTCTCTACCTGATTGTGTTGCCAATAAAACCCTAAGCTGCTTTTCCTTCAATGATATAGTGGCATTTGATAATTGCTTCTCCCCTTTGATACAGCTTCTAAGTATAAATGCATCTTAACTTTAAGCCAAATATTAAGTTGTTAACAAACACATCCTTTGAAGATTAGGAAGGTTGTAGCTTGGAAATCACATTGACCTCCTCCTGAATCTTCAAATCACAAGAAGAAGAACAAAATGTGATTCCTAAAATCTTACAAAAAAAAGTAATTACAAATATAACACTCAAATCTTCTCTATTTACATAATTAATATTCTCCTACCTTCATTTTTCAAATTATCATCAAATATCAAAATTTACAATAAAAACCCAATAAAAAAACATGAAATTGAACCAAACCAGTACCTTAAGTTGTAAACATCTGGACTGCCTTAGACACCATATCTCCTAAGAACCTTGCTTAAAGTAGGCATTACATTGTATGCCTGATAAGATCTCCTTAACTCGATTATCGAGCCAACCTTAGTCACCAAGTTTTTTGAACCTTAGTAAAAAAATTAATTTCTTATATTGCAGAGTGACTTGATAAAGAACTTACGATGATCAGCACTGATGTAAATCCTACTGAGAAATTCTCATTCATCTGGCGTAAGTTGTGATCCAGTACAGAAGAGGAGGTGGCCAATATGCTTAACAATACTCCACCTGTATTGTATCAGAAATAATGAGGGGTGACAAAAGAATGCAGTTATTTAATCAGGAAATTATTATTTAAGGTTTCGTTTGAGACAGCTTTATTACTGCTTCTTAAAGCAGCTTTTTAGTACAAAAATAAAAAATTTTATACTAAAAAGCTGCTTTAAGAAGCAAAAAGAAAGTCGTCCCAAACAAACGAAGCCTAAGTTGGTAAGACTGAGGTTTTATAGTGCTAATGCTGAACAGACTTGAGGAGAAAAACCAGGATATGAGAAACCAGAAGGATGAAACTAATCAGCCAGTTGCTAGATTATCAGATGGACAAAAAACCTCTTACCCCAAAAACGAGTTGATGCCTGAATTTTGGTTAAGTACTCGACAGTTGCCTTCCCAGGTTTTATGTTTGGTATTCGGGCTCCCATTTTAGTCATATAGTCGGAAATCTCTTTAGGCAAGTTAGCCTGCAAAATCCCTAACGATTGTCAAGGCAATGTTGGAATTATAGGATTCAGCAAGTGATGTAAGATGTCTTAAAGAAAAAGTTACTGCAGATGTCATATGAGATGCAAAAATCATCCCATAAGAATGCAAAATTTGCAAGACGAGCTATTATTCCAAAGCAATTAAGGACTCTTTTAGTGAAATAAAAAATATGACGGAAATCAATAAAAAAAAAGACTAATGGCCTTTTACAATCAATTAACAATGAAAAAAGGGATGATGAAAATTGATGCAAGCAAAAATTTGGGACAACCCACAAAATTTTGCAAGCAAAAAACAAATCTTCCTAGGAAATAGAAATGACACCAAAGAACACAAAATACAATTTTTTTATAATAAAAGACTTACAAACTTGGACACAAGCACACAAACCTAAAGTTGCATTTCATCCGTTGAGAAGAAGGATACAAGTGGGGTGGTCACTTGCGGATAGAAGAAAGAGGTTAGAAGACTAGACGAAGTATAGGAGTAACTCGCAAGTTATCCCAAGAAAGAGAGGAAGAAGTGGAACAAGCTCGCAAGCTTTTCCAATAAAACCCGCAGGCTTTCTATTCCAAAATCACTCACATATCATCCCTCTTAAACATCAAAACAATATCTAATTTATAAGAGAAAATATGGCAGCCAAACAGCCCTTTAAACATATTTAATATCTTAATTAAAATAGGGAAATAGAAGGCCAAAAGACACCAGGACAGCAGCTGAACAACCACAAAAAAAACCCCAATTAATCCCATTAGGAAGGGGAAGAGGAAGGGCAAAAGACACCGCAAACAGCCCCCCAAAATCTGCACAGAAAACATGAAGAAAAGCCACGGGAAACCCAGCAAGCAAGCCACGGAAAAGCAGCCAGAGAGGGACCCGAGGAGTCAAGCCAGGAAACAGGCTGAAGGTAGTCACGGGAAAGCAGCCAGGGATAAAACTGAAAAAGGCAGCCAGCACACAGATTTTATTCACAAGGAAGAAACCAAAGAGATACAAGAATGGGAAGATGTAGCATAGGGGAACCAAAGAGTCAAAGGCAAGGGGGGAATGAACCAAATAAAGATAATTTATGAGCTGAATTAAATAGAAGAAAAACATTAATGAGCTAGAACCAAGTAGCTCTCAAAATTTCAGCTCACAACCAGAGAATCCAAAGCCCAACCCGAGAGCAGCCAAAGGTCCAAACCGAGAAACAACAAGCAACCCAAGGACAAAATTTGATTTGAACCCCCCCCCCCCCCCCCCTCTTGCCTACATCATAATTTTAAAACAATCAGAACATGATTGTTTATTTTAGCAGTTGGATTGCGATTGTAGAATAGATTATTTCTTATATTTATTTTAGAAGTATTTGGTGAAATATTAGTATTATTAACTAATACATTCAACACTATTAATTACTACTTTTAAATTGCATGAATTGTAATTGTTGAAAAGCTGAATAACAAATATTAGGTACTTCTTTTTATTAATGCTACAAATTTTCAGCAAATTTGCAGCAAAAATTTCATTGCAAATTACGCCGCCGAAATTTGCGACGGATATATTTACCACTAATTCCATCGCAAATGACGACGAACAAGCCGCCGTAAGACCGCCGCAAATTCCGACGGTATTTCCTCAACAAATCCACCACAAATCCGTCTTAATTTGCAGCGGAATTAGCGACAGCTGGCTAAATCGAACACGCTGTTTTTTTTTTAACTCCATCATAAATTCGTTGTATGTCGCCGCAAATCCGCCACACAGCTTAATTTGCGAAGGATTTCACTAGTTTTGCGGTGGATTTTTTCACCGGATATAGTGTTAGTTATATTTATCTAAAAATTTCAATATAAATAATGTACAAAAATGGCTCCATCATATTCAGCTGGTTCATATATCCTTTATTGTACAACAATTCATATTTTCCACATTATTCAATAAAATAAAAGCTGAATAACTCTAGTTCTAGGTGTGTTAAATAGCCAACCATTATAAGGTACCCACCCCTTTAAACCATTCAAAAAACCTTCATGCCTTTCCCTATAATTAACATTGATGTGTCGTGTCCATCTCGTATCACTACTAATATTAATAGAGTCATATGAGTTGTTTTTTTCTTAGATTATTGCTCACATATTAGATGGCTCTTTCTAAAGAAAAATAAACCAAATATAAGTAAAATCTATCACATATGTCATAAAATGATCCATAACCAATTCCACACTAATATTCAAGATATTAGGTATGATAATGGGAATTAATAGTTTAAACAAACCATATCCACATTTTTTTTTCAAGAAACAAGAATCATCTATGGATCTTCTTGTACGGAAAATTCTTAACATGGCGTAGTAAAGAAAAAACCAAGGCAAGCTCAACCATTTGAAAATGTACAGGATCATTCACCATGCAGTGAATATTCAGAATCTACCACTGTAATTCGAAACAATCATGATACCTACCTTCCTATTACAGTATTACCCTAAGAGAGAAAACATATAAATGCACCAAATAGCTAACTTCATTTCTGTCCAACCTTTACAACCTTTAGTCATACCACAAAGCCTTCCTCAATGAGATAAATAATATTAAGAATCCAAGAAATATTTAAGAAATAAAGAAGAATGGAAAAAACAATGGCTGAATAAATGAGAGCCCTAAATAAATTAAATTTGAGAGGTGATATAATTACCAAAAGGGAAGAAATTAATTGTATACAAGTGGCATACATTAACATTGTTATGTACAATGCAAATGGGACACTTTAAATATATATATTTAGATTCGTTGTAAAAGGCTACAATCAGACCAACGAAATTGATTAAGAAGAAATTTTTGTACCACTTGGAAAGTGAAATACCATTCGGATACTTCTATACGTGGCAGCTAACCTCAAATAATCCTTAAACAATCACATGTTAAAAATGCATTCTATATAGCGAACTAAAAGAAGTTTATATGGAATCTCCATCAAGTTTTAATCATGGATTCAAAGTTTAATACTTATAGCTACACTTAGACCTAAGGATGGATTTCAAGTAAAGTCTAAGAGATCATTTCCTATTCATAAAAAAAAATCCAAAGAAGGTGAAATCATAATTCTAATAGTCTGTAATTACGAGAGATGATTTTGAAGGAAAGAGGAGATTGAAAGACCAACTATCCAAAGAATTTGAAGAAAGAATTTGAGAAGGCTCACATATTTCCTTCGAAATTAAGTGCCACACTCAAAGGCTAGAAAATTCATTTCCCAATAAAAATACATCCTTTATCTAATTAATGAAATAGGTATGATGAGATGCAAACCCCCAAAAGTTCCAAGTTTATTGTCATAAGCTTTGAGATGCAGGCGACAACCTACAAGTTAACAAAAAGATGTATCAAAGGTAGGTTGGGAAACTAATTTACCTTGCCCACATAAGACCAAATATAGCATATGTTATAATGTTCTAAGCCAATTCATGCATAAATCTAAAGAAGTTCAATTACTGCCTTATATAAGCTCTTGAATACCTCAAAGCAATCCAATATTCCCACCCCCACCCCACCCCCTCCACACGCACACACAAAACCAACACAAAAACCAAAAAAAAAAAAAACTATTTAAGAGAAATAGAAAGACTCAGCTTATAAGCATACAAGAATGCCTATTTAAGAGAAATAGAAAGACTCAGCTTATAAGCATACAATAATGCTGATTGTGCGGCAAAATCCCTTGTAAAGAAAAAAAATTAACTATTAGTTATTGCACATTCTTGGGAAAATATAATCACTTCAAGAAGCAGTAAATAATCTCCATATCTAGAGTTCAAGTGAATTTTGAATAATGGCCCACAAAATAAGCAAAAGTTTATGGATTAAAATTATTTTAAATGCCTTGGGAATAAATTAGACAGATGCAATAAAGTTATACAATGATAAAAAATCAACCATAAAAATACACTCAGCCCAGTCCAACATGATCGAACCGAACACATTGAAATCAATTAGCACTTCATAAAAAAAATTAGAAAGTTAATTAATATGAACCCTGAATGTTCAGAGTTCAGACACACAAGCAATTGACAAACATTCTAAACAAGGAACCTAAGAGCTCTACATACTTTTTTTTTTAGAGCTCTAAATACATCACATCTAAGTTAGGCATGAAAAATATAGACATTACAGCTTGAGTAGGAGTATTGGTGGTTTCAGCAACATCCACGATAACTGCTAGCTAGCACTAGCCATCCATGGGGAATTTCGATCCATGGAATGTTCTCGTAGATTGCAAGTTGTAGTTATTCCCTTCCTTATTCTCTTAGACGCATCTCTATAAACATTATTAATAGTTGTGCATTTTATCATAAGAACAACAGTTAAGAAATCAGTGTAATTAGTTACTTACAAAGGATAAATTACCTGGCATAAAATAGAATCAAGTTATATAAATAGGGGTGTAAAGTCCTCAATGAAACACATAAGAATTCATATCATATCTTCCTCTTTTCAGATTTCAATAAAAACAGCAATATTTAGTTCACCCTTCTAGTTGAGAAGCCCTTTTGGATCACTAAAGATCAGATACCACAACTTCCAGAAGCAAAGCAAACTCTTGGGAAGAAGACTGTTTATAGTTATCATTCCTCCATAAAACTAATATAATATGCACTTAATAAAATCCTTCCAGCACTTTCATTTTTTAAGTTGATAAAATGCACATCTTAACTTTCAACAAAAAAGATAATATTTAGTCCACCTTTCTAGTTGTGCCCTTTTGGATCACTATAGATCAGAGACCACAACTTCCATAAGTAAAGCAATCTCTTGGGAAAAAGATTATTTATAGTTATCATTCCTCCAACAATGGTGGATAATATATTTTTCTAAACTTTTTAATGAAGATTATGAGAATGTGATTAACTTTAGTGACCTTAGCATCTTAAATGAAAATAAAGATATTTAGTTTTTATTGACGTATAAGTAAAACTGAAGTTAGAGAGGCTTTAAAGAAAATGAAGTAGGGAAAAGCTGTTAGACCTGATGATATTCCAATAGAGGTGTGGAAATGCTTAGGAGATGAAAGAATTTCTTGGCTTACTACACTTTTTAATATTATTTTGAAAACTAAAAAAAAATGCTAAATGAGTGGAGAATGAGTGTGTTAATTCCTATTTTCAAGAATAAATGTGAGGCACAAGATTGTGCGAATTATAGATGAATTAAGTTAAAGTGTCATAATTTAAAACTATGGGAGAGAGTTATGGAGCATAAGTTGTAGCATGATACTAATGTTTCTCAAAATCAATTTGGATTCATGCCGAGTAGGTATACTATGAAAGCTATACCTTTTTTGAGATGTTTGATGGAGAAGTATAGAGAGAATAAGGATGATCCTACATATGATATTTATTGATTTAGAGAAGCATATGATAAAGTTCTAAGAGAAGTGCTATGGAGAGTTCTAAAAAAGAAATGGGTTAATAATGCTTATATTCAAGTCATTAAGGATATGTACGCAGAAGTTGTTACTTGTGTTCAAACACAATATGGTTTGACCAAGTATTTTCCTATTTCAGTTGGATTACATCAAGGATGGATCTTAAGCCCATATATTTTTGCATTAGTCATGGATGTTCTCACTAGACATTTGCATGAGGATCTACCCTGGTGTATGCTTTTTGCTGATGATATTTTTTTTGTTGATAAGAATAGATGGAGTTGAAGCTAAACTTGAATTATGGAGGTCAACCTTAGAGTCTAAAGCCTTTTGTTTGAGTAGATCTAAAACTCCATATATGTATAGCAATTTTAGTAATAATAGATCTAGTGGGGGATTATAACTTTGGGTGATCAAATCATTAATAAGAGTACATGATTTTGATATCTTGGATCTACTGTTCAGAGTGATGGTGAAATAGATGGGGATATTATTAGTAGAATTCAAGTTGGATGGTTGAAGTGGAGGAATGCATCGGGCTTGTTGTGTGATAGAAAAGTCCCCCTCAAACTTAAGAGAAAATTCTATAAGATGGAAAGTGAGACCTACATGCCTTATGGGGGTAGAATGTTGGAGATCTTCATATGATATTTATTGATTTAGAGATAGCATATGATAAAGTTCCAAAAGAATTGCTATGGAGAGTTCTAAAAAAGAAAGGGTTGATAATGCTTATATTTAAGTCATTATGGATATGTATGTTGGAGCTGTTACTTGTGTTCAAACACAAGGTGGTTTGACCAAATATTTTTCAATTTCAGTTGGATTACATCAAGGATCAACCTTAAGCCCATATTTTTTTGCTTTAGTCATGGATGTTCTTACTAGAGATTTGCAAGGTGTTCCCTGGTGTATGCTTTTTGCTGACGATGTTCTTCTTGTTCATAAGACTAAAGAGGGAGTTGAAGGTAAACTTGAATTAAGGAGGTCAACCTTAGAGTCTAAAGGTTTTCGTTTGAGTAGATCTAAAACCGAATACATAGAGTGTGATTTTAGTAGTAATAGATCTAGTGGTGGTTTGTGACTTTGAGCTATCAAGTCATTAATAAGAGTGCACGTTTTAGATATCTTGGGTCTATTACTCAGAGTGATGGTGAAATAAACGAGAAGCATAATATTAAGTTAAGTTGTTGTAGAGATGAGGATGCTTAGGTGGATGAGTGGCTTTATTCTTAGAGAAAGGATACAAAATGAGCATATATGTGAAAAGGTTGTAGTAGCTCCAGTGGAAGGTAAGATTAGGGAGAGTTGCATTAGATGGTTTGGTCACATAAAGCGACGGCCTTCCGATGAACTGGTTAGGGAAGTAGCTGTATTAGATTTTTTTTTTTTAGCTGCATTAGATTTGACTTATGTTAAGAAAGATAAAGTTAGACCTAAAAAGACTTGATTATAAAATATTAGAAATGACCTTTCTTTATTAGATTTAAATAAATGACCATTCTTTATTAGATTTAAATGAGAACTTAACTCTTAAAAAGACACAATGGAGAAAAAAGATTCATGCAGTCGACCCCACATAGTGGAATAAAGGCTTGCTGCTGTTGTTGGTGTTGTGTAGTTATCATTCCTCCATAAAACTAATATAATATGCATACAATAAAATCCTTGCGAGAAAAGTTGGCCACTATGACAAGAGAAAACTTCTGTTCGGTAGTTCTCTTCCTTCCATCACTCCATTTCCGTACTATAATTTTTTTATCTACGAAAAAGCACACATCTTGAATAACTAAAGGGAAATCTATGGACTTCCTACTATAACGCCACCTTTTGCATGAAGAAACAGTTGGCATGTTTTTAATACTTGGAAAGTATTACTAAACGCGCTAACATACTGATGAACCGGCCGATTTGATTGGGAGGGAATTAAAAAATTTCCTAATCAAGATGGAGTTGTTTAGGAAGATTCTTAATAAAAGGGGAATTGTTTAGGAAAGTTTTAATTATAATTGAGAGAAAATTATTTAGGGAAAGAGATCTAATTTGAATTTAAAATCTAAGAGGAAATAATTTAGGTAAAGGGAGGAGGAATCAAGGAGAAATTGTTTAGGAAAGTTTTAATTACAATTGGGTGAAAATTATTTATGGCAAAAGATCTGATTTGAATTCAAATATGACAGTGAATTATTTAGGGAAAGGAGGCTGATTTGGAAAGGAATTAGGGGAGCCTATTGAAGGCTAAGAATAGGGTGATTTCATAATTATGATGTTATTTGCTGAATTTAGATTATTCTTAGGTTGATTGGGCTCTAGCCGGTGGCTACGGATTTGGGAGAGCCAGATCTTCCTCTCCAATTGAATATCCAATTGTATCTCGTCCCTCTTTCATGGCTATTTTGAATAAAAAAAAGTGTTCTTGTGAGTTCTTTCTCTACTTTTCCAATTTTGAGTTTGCTGCAATCAGATTTTAGCTATAGATTTTCACAAATTCTGCATCAAGACAACAATAAACTGAAATTTAGCCCATCAATACTAAAATCTGGAAACCTCAAATTTCAGCACATAATAACTTTTTCTTTTGTATAAGCAGAGTAATTGAATTAATTTCTCTATCCATACCAAATAATTTTTTACCATAAATCATGCAACCTACAATATATTAAATCACAACATACCATAGAACGTGATCATATTTTTTAGCATAATACAGTTCAAAACAAAGAGCTTGCCCCCTCTATGAGGTTCCCTCCAATGTAGGGTCCAGGGAGAGGTTAATGTATGTAACCTTAACTTGCATTATGGGGAGAAATTTTCATGATTTGAACCCATGGATTTAGGGTAACAACGGAGTTAACCTAATAAGTACTCCAGGTAAACCACTAGAGCTTTAGCTATCACAAAGATCATGGAAATTTTAAGTACATATGCATGAACGTGTACTTAAAGAATATAATATTGTTGCCTAAGAAATTACAAGGACAGTAATTTAGCACAGCACTGCATGTTGAAATACTTACAATGTCAAATATATTGAACAGGAAAACAAAAAATGCATAAATTGCATAGAAGACCCATGGCTTTGCACCAATAGAACTTGCAGGATTTAGTATCTCCTTAAGGTATTCCCAAAATGGCGAGTTGAAAATACTGCCCAGATGAAAAAAAAAATGGCAGAATAAATAGAGAGTTAATTTTAAATTTCCTAATGAATGCATTAACCAAGAGCAAGGAATGTAAGAATGAGAATAACCTTGCAATAATGCTAGGGAAAGCCAACAGATAGGTGGTAGTAAGAACAGGCTGCATTCCTGAGGGATTTATGTTGAATGGTATATAAGGTTCCACCTCAGTGATTGGAGAACCCCCGCTTCTATTAAAGAAAGAAAAAAGCATAATTAACAGACAAGAGGAATGCAGGAATGAAAATGGTAAATAAGCATCTTCATAGTATTGAGCAATAATAAACCTTCAAATTGTGATCATGAAAGTAGAGAATACAGAACAGTACAAATATAAGAATGCCGCAAACAAGCGATTCATTTGGAGGTTTAAACCATGACTCTGATAAAAAAGCCATTATAGCCAAAATTCAGCTTCCAGGCTCTTGGGCGTGATCTATCCTTAATATAGCTAAAAAATGAACATGGACTTGCACCGTATTTTCTTTTCATTTTATGTAAAAACATGTCCATGATGTTGATTGTCTTGTTCTCTAATATTTTGACTTTTAAGTTATTAATCGCTAGAGGGGTCCCAATTCAATTAGCATCAGATACAGTCCTGATTTCAATGTTAAGGGTTTCCTATTCCATAGGATTTCAGGATTTCTCCATATGTAATGTTCCACTTGTGATTTCCTTCTATTTCCTTTGGAATTCCATAACTGCTGCTAATGTTACAATCCCAGAATCTTAGGTCTAGTTTTGCTACGGTCCCAGGTTCTTGATTGTTGTGGTTTCCTTGTGTGCTTTCCTACAAGTCTATACAGTTCCTGATACTAATGGGGTATCATATGCACATTGGGTACTTCTCAATTACTTGATAGTCAATGGACATCAAATAAATCAGAGCTTATCGCAAGCATAGAAAGTGAACTTTAAATTGCATAGTATTTTAGTTTACTTTGAATTTTCCTTTCAGTTTATGCCAAAGCCGGCCAATGATGTTGATTGTTAAGTTCTACAATATTTGGACTTCGTCTTTAGATATGGTTAATTGTTAGAGGTCCCGATTTAATTAGCACCATAAATAGTTCTGGGTTCAGCCTCTAGATTTTCCTATTCAATAGGATTTTAGAGGATTTGTCTATAAACAATTTTCCTTATCGCAAATTCTATATTATCCTACTATGATTTCTTAAAATTTCCTTCTGTTTCTAATTACAGGCATTGATTTGCTAATACTAAGATCATGGAATTCCATTACTGTTATTAATCCTACAATCCCAGAATATTAAGCCTCATTGATTTGCTATAGTCCTGAGATCCTGATTGTTGTGATTTCCTTGTATGTTTTCCCATGGTTTTGCTACAGTTCCTGGTACTAAAGAAAGCCGCTGATTTGCTACAATTCCGTGGGCTCATTATCTATTGATTGCAATAGTCCCCAAGGTTTTTAAGGAATGCGAATGGTTGCCTTGCGGCCTATTGGTTTATCTTTTATGGATATAAATTACGAAAACTATGAAACCTAAAGCTGATATCTTTTAGGTGTTTGTAGAATTAGAACTTGCAATGTTTAACTAGATCTTACATGATTCTGAGGAATAATGTATTTTAGGTCTTTTGTGGTAATTACTTTTTTAGGCTCTGATTATTTATTATTCAGAATGAGCCTAAATAATTTCTCTCAGTCTTAAATTCATAAATCACTAAAAAAAATTCCTAAAATTATGAAATTTATTTTAGAGAGTGTTTGGAGCCCACCAAACCTTTGTTTAAGTTTAGTCTAATGCGGATAATGTATGAACACAAATGACAATATTTTGGACATTTTAAATAATTTAAATTCTATTGAAATTATAAAAAAATGTAAATCACTGAAGGTTTTTTTTACCTTCCCTTGACATACCCTAATTAATCCTAGGAGATTAGTGGTATACTCTAATTAGCTCTAAGGTTAACCCTAGGCTAGTTAATGACTTAACCTATGATAAATAGGATCCATGCGGTATGTAAATTTAATTAAATATTGAGTACTAAAATAAAATAAATAGGACTGACGTAGGCAAAGGGGGGGTCAAATCATTTTGGGTTGTAATTTTGGTGAGCTGCTATATCCTCTACTTAACTCAGCTCATTAATGTATTTAGGAATACTTTTTCAGCTCATAAATATGATCTATTATTGGTTCATTCTTCCCTCCCCCTGCTTCCCTTCAAATTTCCCCCTGCCTGGCTCTTCCCGTGGTTGGTTCTTCCCCCTTTTGGCTGCCTATTCCGATTCCTGAGGTGCCCGTTACTTTCCCCCTGGTTGCCTGTTCCGATTCTCCTGGTTGTTGTTTCGGTTCCCTTGGCTGCTGTTCCGGCTCTCTTGGCTGCCTTTTTTCGGTTTCTATGTGGCACTTCGGGTACTGTTTCTGGACAGACTTTTGTCCTTCTATTTTCTCTTGTTTTGATTATTTAATTAAGGGTATTTTGGGATGTTTAACTGCCCCATTTCCCCTATAAATATGAAGTGTTTTGTAAGAAAAAGAGAGTTTATGAAGAGATTTTTGGAGCCAAAACCTGAGGGTTTTTTCTTCTTTGGAAAAGCTTGTGAGCTTGTTCTGTTCTTCTTCTTCCTCCTTGGGAAAGCTTGCGAGCTTGTCCTCTCTTTCGTCTCGGCTTCTCACATCTTTCTTCTCTCCGCAAGTTCGACGCCAATTGTATATTTCTTCTCAAGCGATGGAATGCAAGTTTAGGTGTTTTTATGTTAAGTTAGTAAGCATCGTTTTAATTCTATAAAAGGTACATTTCTTATTTTTCTAGGAAGTCTTTTAGTATGCTTGCAAAATTAGGGTCTTCCTAATTTTTTGTTTGCATCAATTTGGTATCAGAGCAAGGTTGTCGAGTGAGTCTTGGTGAGTCATAATAGTTGTTGTGTGAGCCTTGGTTTGTTTCTTCCTAGGTTATTTTTTTTAAGTGTTTAGAAAAAATGGAAAAAGACAATTATTGAACCAGTAGTGGATGAAAATCATCGAGAAGATCTCGAAGAACATATCCCTATGGACATATGGATTCCGTCGGAAGGAAGTTCAACAGATTGATAGGAAATACTTGATTTCAAGTAATTCCTAGCCCAATCTAAAGTAGAACAAGAAGAAAACTGCTGTTTTCAACAGAGGACAGCAGCCAAACACAGGAAAACAGCGAGAAATTGCGAGAAAACTGAGAAAAAACTCAAGAAGAAACTTGAATTCCACTAGATAATGAATAAAATAGCAAAGATACAATTGATCCTCAATTCCGCCAATTGTATATTTCTTCTCAAGCGATGGAATGCAAGTTTAGGTGTTTTTATGTTAAGTTAGTAAGCGTCGTTTTAATTCTATAAAAGGTACATTTCTTATTTTTCTAGGAAGTCTTTTAGTATGCTTGCAAAATTAGGGTATTCCTAATTTTTTGTTTGCATCAATTTGGTATCAGAGCAAGGTTGTCGAGTGAGTCTTGGTGAGTCATAATAGTTGTTGTGTGAGCCTAGGTTTGTTTCTTCCTAGGTTATTTGTTTTTTTAAGTGTTTAGAAAAATGGAAAAAGACAAAATTATTGAACCAGTGGTGGATGAAAATCATCCAGAAGATCTCGAAGAACATATCCCTATGGACAGATGGATTCCGTCGGAAGGAAGTTCAACAGATCCACTACAAAATGAATTATATAAGCTTCAAATGAAGATGTACATGTGTACGGAAATTACATGAATAAAAAGAAACTTCTACAAGAACAATTCAAGCAAGAATAAGAGAAGATCCTGAAGAAGTATGCGACCAAAATTCAAGAGCTTGAAGTGTCTCCTTCATCTCATCAGGATAAACCAAAAACAACCTCATCGGGAGATGAGTCCTTTCAACAGGAGGAGAATCTGATGTAGGCAGGGGAGGGGGGGTCAAATCATTTTGGGTTGTAATTTTGGTGAGTTGTTATGTCCTCTACTTAATTCAGCTCATTAATGTCTTTAGGAATACTTTTTCAGCTCATAAATAGGATTTATTATTGGTTCATTCCTCCCTCCCTCTACTGCCCTTTCGGTTTTCCCCCTGCCTGGCTCTTCCCGTGGCTGGTTCTTCCCCCTTTTGGTTGCATGTTCCAATTCCTGAGGTGCTCTTTCCCCTTGGTTGCATGTTCCAGTTCCCCTAGGTCCTGTTCCGGTTCCCTTGGCTGCCTTTTTCCAGTTTCTGTGTGGCTCTTCGGATATTGTTTCTGGACATACTTTTGGCCTTCTATTTTCACTTGTTTTGATGATTTAATTAAGGGTATTTTGGGCTGTTTAACTTCCCCATTTCCCCTATAAATATGAAGTGTTTTGTAAGCAAAAGAGAGTTTATGCAGAGATTTTTGGAGCAAAAAACCTGAGGGTTTTTTCTTCTTTGAAAAAGCTTGCGATCTTGTTCCATTCTTTTTCTTCCTCCTTGGGAAAGCTTACGAGATTGTCCTCTCTTTCGTCTCGGCTTCTTACCTCTTTCTTCTCTCTACAAGTTCGACGCCAATTGTATCTTTCTTCTCAAGCGATGGAATGCAAGTTTAGGTGTTTTTATGTTAAATTTGTAAGCGTCGTTTTGATTCTATAAAAGGTGTATTTTTTTAATTTAGCATGTATTTTCTTAATTTTCTAGGAAGTCTTTTAGTATGCTTGCAAAATCAAGGTCTTCCTAATTTTTTGCTTGCATCAAGGACCCTAGGACTCTTCTGCAGTGCCACTATTGATCGTTATTGAAATTTATATTCATTATGATGGAATTCCAAATTTTGGAGACAAGTACATTAGGGATGAAAGAAGCATTATAGTTGCTTTTTTTACATTAAGTGACTATTTTTTATTACAATTAAGAGTTGATAACTTAGGAGTTGTGATTTTTTTAATGAGTTTTCATTTGTAGGTTATATTAGTAAATTCTAGGCTCTTAACTATCCTACATCAAATTAGTATCGAATTATGGCTGCATTCCCTTGTCACTAAAAGCAGAGCATAATAATTGAGTCTATATAATTAATAAAATATGCTACTTAAACAAATTCAGGTAAGTCATGATTCAAAATGAACAAAATGCAATTACGACGAGGATCTAAATTACATTCCTGCATTTACTAAGAGTTATAATCTTGAGACATTATTAGTTTGGATCAATAATTTAGAAAACTTTTTTGAATACTACCAACTATTTGATTTCAAAAATTTTGAATGTGCTAAATCAAAATTTAATGAATGTGCACAAATTGTTTTGAAAAAATATTTCAAATGAAATTAAACCTGTACCGGTTGATCTAAATATAAATTTAAAGAGCAATATTTATCATTTAGCAAGTATGAGGATCAACTGCATGAACAAGGAAAGCGCTGTAGGCAACATGAATCATAGCAATTAAGTGAAGGTGAATAATTTGTGTCCATCTACTATTTGGTAAGAAAAAAGATAAACCCTAACCTAACTTTCTTCTTGCCCTTTCTTCCATGTCTCCCCAAGTTGATATGAAAGCTATATAGGTAATGTCTAGGTATATCAAGGATTAAATGATTTTATCATACATGTCTTAAACTTGGCATTGTGAATAATTGGTAGAGATTGAAATTCAAGAGACCGAAGCAACTCGATGAGTTTGCACATCCAAAAGTAGGAAATCTCATTGCTGAATGGGAGAAATGTTCCTTCTTCTAACCTGACGCATTCGATTGATTTATTTAAGATAAAACATGAAAAGATGTTATATTTATGAGGCAGTTGTTATAATAGTTTTACAATGATTCATTTATAATAATTGCAACTAATTCCTCATATTGCTATGAATCACATGGTACATATTTATGGTTCAAGTGCTTATAAAACTCTATATTATATCATGCAATTATCTTACAAATATACCCAGCGAATGTTAATGCAAATGCAAAAGAAACAATGCATATGAATGCTTAAATGTGCATGACGAAAGATGGAGCAACGCCCTTATGATTTTAGCTAGGAACATCGCACTTACATGTTGACTATTTTGCCTTTCGTCGGTCAGTGACTAAATAAGTTTGGAAAATTTTGTTAAGATTAAAGTACTACCGATACGTGAGATTTAGACTGTGCTCTTGAAATGGAAGTACTAGTCATTCACCCTAATGTATTAGGAGATGCTCTGTTTCAATACATGTTCATTCTATTGAAGGCAATGCTAAATATTAAGATTGAATTATTGTTCATTACTCTGACTGCAATGAAAGTTTTTTATCATGATTATGATTATAATGAAATGCCAATTTCTATGATTTTTTTATCGGTCATATGTGACAACTAATATGCATATTGATCTCTATTCTTTTAAGTAGTGCAGCTTGCAATTGTGATATATATATTTTAGAAAATCTCCATGGAGTAACTGAGTGATAGATGAGATTGTGTACACTCGACACACAATGCCTTTTGATTGGTATACGTGTAATAATGCCTCCTGTATGGAGATAGTAGTAAATTCTTTATTCAGGTGCCTTATCCAATGATAAACTAGATTTATACAGTGTGCAAGATATATGGATCAATATTAAAAAGTGAATCATATGTGTCCGTTTGAATGCCTAAATATGTATAATTTCGTATCTTACAGTTATCTTAAAAGAAATATCAAGGTTTATTATACATTGTTACGAATTATTTTATGGAACATAAGCAAATGAAATTTATGTTAGAGCTCATAAAATGTTCATATATGATCATTTTGTCATTAAGGTTATAAATTTTGACAATGGTGGATAGGGTGTGATCAGTTCACCCCTTTCCATTGCTTGTTGGATCGTGATAATAAAAAACTATGTCATCTCATCTCTCTAATTAAGGCAAATCATGCAAGCTCTCTAGCTCCTTTTAAGGCAAGGTGCTCACCTAGGCAACGCCTTAGTAATCATGCCCAAGAGGTCAGCAAGACGTTTTGGTCTACTCTTGTACTGGCGCTAAGGAGAACACTTAACCAAACTCATCTTTAACAATATTATATTGAACAATGGAGGCACGTGCTAATGGATGGTAAAAAAACCTAAAACCTAATTTAGATTGATCTTAATTGAGGCAAAAATCAAGTCACAAGTGAAATATAGAACCAGACAATCTTATGAAGTAGGCCTCCTTGAGGTTGCCATTTCCTCTCCCAAAATATAAAAAATGAGAAAAAAAAAATATTTATCATAGTTCACAGGGTACACGGTGTTATAAGTTAAAAAATGATAAAAGAGCTGCATGTAGGGTTAGAGTAGATCAACATGTTCAAGACTACGGAAATTAGAAAGAAACTAAAAAATCATCTACATATGAAGACTTGATTTCTAAACAGCTTGATGAAGAAGTGTTCTTTAAAAAAGTTTAACCGGTATAAATTAATAACAGATAGAATCATGGAATGAACCCAAGCAAATATTACATGGCTAATCAGAAAAAAAATTTAAAATTCATGATGAGTGCGAAAACATGATAAAAATTGGCACTCCGATTTACAAATTAGCTGCAAACATTAGCAACAATAACAAGCACGGGCTTCTTGCAAAGATACTACCTAGATGCAGAAGCCAATTTAAAAGCATAGTATTTCAACTTGATTTTCCTGCAACCTTCAGTAACTAGCACGGCCCACATTGTCACAACTGTGAATATCCCAATCACTGCAACTAAGTAAGGCCAAAAGCTTGATGCATTGCCTGGAACAAAGAAATCAACAATTTAATATAGAGAGAAAAACAAAGTAAATAAAAAAAAAAAACATAAATAACATGCAAGCGCTCCAGTATTCTGTGCTGAAGTGACAAACCTAAAACTTGGAAACATCAAATTGTACAATTGAAAAAACATGATGGTTCGTAGGTAATAGAAATTTATCTTCCTTCAAATAGAAGGTTTTAGACAATAGTGCACAAGTGTTGTATCATAATATGTTAAGTAGTGTTTATAAATAGCTATACAACTACCTTTGTTATTTTTGGATGATGAACATGTTATATACTATTGTTGATGCACTAGATTGAGAAGTCTCTTCCTTTAAGTTGAGCTGAGAAGTCTCTTCCTTTAAGTTGAGCTTATTGTATGTTTTCAACTTTTTCTCTCCTTTAAGAAGAAACGGGTAGCTCTTTTTCACATAATACTTATATTATAGTATTGGAGCATAGGTTAAGATGTGATAATAATGTTTCTCAAAATCAATTTGGATTCATGCCGAATAGGTCGACCTATTGAGAGGTTTGATGGTGAAGTATAGAGAGAATAAGGAGGATCTTCATATGATATTTATTGATTTAGAAAAAAAACATATGATAAAGTTTCAAGAGAAATGCTATGGAGAGTTTTTTCTTTTAAGATTTTTTTTTTTTTTTTTTTGAAGAATTGCTATGGAGAGTTCTCAAAAAGAAAGCGGTTAATAATGCTTCTAATCAAGTCATTGGGGATATGTATGCTGGAGCTGTTACTTGTGTTCAAACACAAGGTGGTTAGACCAAGTATTTTCCAATATCAGTTGGATTACATCAAGGACCGCCTTAAGTCCATATCTTTTTGTTTTAGTCATGGATGTTCTTAATAGAGATTTGCATGAGGATTTTCCCTGGTGTATGCTTTTTGCTAACAATATTCTTCTTATTGATAAGACTAAAGAGGGGGTTGAAAGTAAACTTGAATTATGAAGGTCAACCTTAGAGTCTAAAGGTTTTCATTTGAGTATATCTAAAACCGAATACATTGAGTGTAATTTTAGTAGTAATAAATCTAGTGGGGGTTTGTGAGTTTGGCGATCAAGTCATTAATAAGAATACACGTTTTAGATATCTTGAGTCTATTGTTCAGAGTGATGGTGAAATAGATGGGTATATTATTAGTAGAATTTAAATTGGATGGATGAAGGGTAGGAATGCATTGAGCTTGTTGTGTGATAGAAAAGTATCACTCAAACTTAAGGGAAAATTTTATAAGATGTGGTTAGACCTACAATGCTTTATGGTGCAGAATGTTGGCCATTAAAAGAGAAGCATAATATTTAAGTTAAGTGTTGCAGAGATAAGGATGCTCAAGTGGGTGAGTGGCTTTACTCTTAGAGACAGGATACAACAAAAGCATATACGTGAAAAGGTTGGGGTAGCTCCAGTGGCAGATAAGATTAGAATCGCCTTAGATGGTTTTGTCACATAAAACAACGGCCTTCCAATGACCCGGTTAGGAGAGTAGATGAATTAGATTTGACCTATATTAAGAAAGGTAAAGGTAGACCTAAAACGACTAGGTAAGAAAAATATTAGAAATGACCTTTCTTTATTAAGTCAAAATGAGAATTTGACTCTTAACAGGACAATCGAGAAAAATTATTCATGTAGTCGACCCCACATCATTGTTGTTGTTGTACTTATATTATAGTCATCTTTCAAGTTCCCTAATTTTGAGAAATCTAGACATGCATTGATCCCCCAAAACTTATCCTCTAAATGAAATGACTCACATGTAATTACATAATCTTAATTTAATATCTAGCTTGCAGATATGAGTGATAAGAAAAGACTATACCAAGTGTAAATATAATCAAATGATAGATAAAGTATGACATTTTTCAAAGATTATCATAAAGTATGCTCAAATTTTAATTAATCGGGATTGCTAATGGGTATGGAATTTTTGCATTCAATTCCTTTTCCCCTCTAAGCTCTTGATGTGATACAAGCTTGGAGTTACACAAGATTATAAAGAGAATTTACTAGAAATTTAACCTTTATAAAATTATGCGTTAATTCAAAGTTGGTTACAAGGATTCTCAGTATTCCACTTGCTTAGGCAAAGAGTTGTATGAAGATTAACCAAAACACTCTCAATCAAATACAAAGGTGAAGTAATGTAAAAGCTTATAACACAAATCCAAAAGTTAATAATGAGGTGTTCACCTTTAAGGATCTACTCTCTTCCCTACTAATCTAGGTTGAGCGGAGAAAGATCTTCCACACTAGAAATGAAGTAACCACTAGGACGGACGAGCTGAGGAAAGTCGTTGTTGGGAAGGTAGCCGGAGGTGGAGGTGGCACGTATCTTCCGGTGAGGGACCACGGAGTCCTTGGTCGTTGAAGCTCAATGGTGTGGGAAAGGCAATACACGATCCGGTTGACGTAGCGTTCAGCGGTGATATCGTATTCCCAATCCGGTTCGTAGAAGGGGGAGAGAAAAATGTCGATCTCCCCTTGCTCGTTGTACGCAAAGCCGTGGTCGACTTCAGGGTCGGCCATACATTGTAAGCATGGAGATGAAGGGAGCACGAGATGGCAAATCCACAAGAGAAGAGGGGTGGGGAAGGGGGAAGGGAGGGGCCGTGGGCTAGGGAGAAGAGGGGATCACGGTTTGGGAGGGAGAGAGGGGATCACGGTTTGGGAGGGAGAGAGGGGAGAGGGTGATGCTATTTTGTGGGGAGAATAAATCTAAAGTTTAATTTCAGATTCTAAATAAGAAAGGAGGGAAGATTCAATTTCAAATTTAAGATTTTGAAATATGAAATTAAAATCTTTGAAATCTAAAATTAAAATCTGTGAGAGGGAGGCATTAAAGAGGTATTCAAGTGGTGATGAGGTGGCAATTGGAGAGAGAAATAATAGGGGAGAGGTGGCCGGCCATATGGGGAGAGTGGGGGCTTGGAATTAATTAGGTGGGGCCCAAGGGGAATAATTAAATTAAGATCAAATCTGAATTTAAATTCAGATTTGTTTTAATTTAAGAAAGTTTCCCAATTTAGTGGAATAAGGGAGGGAAAGAGGTTTGAATTTCAAAATTGAGTTAATTCCCATTGACGAGCTTTCCTAAATAGAGAAATACTATTTTAAGAAAGTAATTTACTCAATGGAATTTGAAATTCAAAGAGGGGATCATGGGGGGGCCAGCGGCAAGACTAGGAGGCTGAGAGGGGCAGCGAGATGGGGCTGTCGGGCTGGCAGGGGCTCCAACCGGCAGTAGAGCTGGGAGGGGATGGCGGGATGGGGCTGGGTGGTGAAAACCGTGGGAGAGAATAAGGGGAAGGGGCAACGGGTCTTGGGAAGAGCTTGAGGAGGGAGATGGGGTAGGAGAACAATGGAGAGAGGAGGGTATTCAGATAGGAAAAGAAAAGAAAATCTCTTCCTCAAGAACTCACTAAGAGATCTTGGGATTTCACTCAAGAACTCACTAAGAGATCACAAACAAAATTTTCATTCATCAAAAACTACTCTCATACAAGAAGATGGCCATATATATAGGCCTCTAAAATGACAAAGAAAACAAAAGACTAGAATGCCCCTTGGGCTACAATAGCAACCAACTACCCATAAGGGCAAAAACGGAAAAACTGAAATAACATGATTAATACATAAAATGCTAATACAAAAAATGCATCAAAAGTAAAGACTCTACATCATGGTCATCGATCTCCTGTGTCGCCTCTAATAAACGCGTTGAAACCTCTTGTCGATGTCCCCATCAGCCTTATTTACCTTCTATTGTATGCATGTCATTTATTATTTCAGTTAAACTCTAGGATGCATGAATTCATGAAAGGTTTGGATGAATTATGCATTTTGATGGACAACGGATCAAATATTTGATGCAAGATTGATATGAGTTCAATTAATTCATCCAAGTCAACAAATGGAACTTCGTTATGTCCATCTCAAATTGATTAAAATTAATTCATGCTCTTGTTACATCATGTCTCTATTTACTCAACTTACTAGCCCTCATCTGAATTGTACAATATCATGAAACCCTATGATACAATTGTAAAATTTATGTGATGCCAAATAAATTTACACAGGCTCTTATTAAGTTAAAAAGCAATATCATGCACAACATATATACTCTGATAGTGACTTTTTACACAAGGATATTTTTCTCAAATATTGTTGAATTTATTCATAGCCTATGTATGATTTTTAATGTTTTGTAGTGCTTATAAAATATCATTGTGGGTACTAAAAATCCTCGCCCAACCTCTGTTGAGAGAGTTTTTGAGTTTCTTGGGTCAAATTCAAAAGGAAGATTAAGTTGAAGATAAAATACAACTAAGAGAATTCACCCTCATCTGTACAGGAAGTTTATGATCTAGTTGCAAGATTCTTATAGGTATAGGCCCCTAGGTTAATTATCCCTTGTTAAACTTACTAGTTGCAAGATTCCTATAGGTATAGGCCCCTAGGTTAATTATCCCTTGTGGTAACGAGAGAGAATTTTCTATTCAAGTTACTCATTAGAAGCTATATACTTAGTGCATAATAAAAGCAATTTAATTTAAAATTCATAAATTCGCATTCAAACTTAGAATGGATAATGTGGGGAATGATGACAAACTTGATCAAAATCTCATGATTGTCTTGTCTCGGGTTATCAAGGACCTCGGTGTACTTAACTAGTGGAGCCGTGGAGGTAGTCAACCAACCGAACTAAAAATCCTGATCGAGAATCATGGGATGTTTAATCCAAAGGAATCTTGTAGACCTATTTGTCAAAAGAGATAAATTTAGGCCAACCTTAGCTAATAGAGTTTTTGTGTCATATCAAGTGCACCATGATTCATTACTCAAGAGTTTTTATCTATTGAGAACTTACGGGCACTCATCATTATCGCAATTTAATAGTATCACTTTACAGTGAAACTACCTAATCAAAGGGCTCTCGTAATAGCCATTTATCTATAGTGTCATTCGACGTCAAAACCACCAGTTAGAGAATAATTGCACATCATTACTAGCTAAAAATCATTTTAGAATGAATCGTAGTAATAAGCTCAACGAAACATTTGCTCATTATGAGCATATTATATTCTCAAATTTATTACACTCGCTAAAAGGCCACAGAGAATGGATGAATCTTGCTTTAAGTTTGTAAGCGGTAAATTTCATTTGAACATTTTTAAATATTTGTATTTTTGTCTAGACGTGCTGCTCCTCCCTGGTTAATAAAACCATCATCAGGGTGTTAATATTTTATTTTATTATTTGACCCTAGCCAAATCTACCCATTTGCTAATATAGATAATCAAGTTCGAATATTAACTAAGAGCTACCATATGAGCGGTGACCTAAAGAATTTGCATTTTGTAGTTGTATGCTAATACAGGAAAATAAGATTTATGGTGCATTATTTGACACTTATAGTTTTAAGATGAATCAAATTTAGATTCATTCTTTATTTTAAGCCGCACATCATTCTTGAAACAAAAATTTAGGAGCATGATGTAGTTGGTTAATGCACATGCAAGTGATTTTGACTTTGACACATTTTTCTATTATATGCACGTATTTCGATGCACCTATGTAATGTACTTGCACATTTAGCGATGCATTTACATAGCATTCGCACACTTTTCAATATAGCTTTTCGGTGCACCTACATGACGCACTTGAACACTTTTTGTCCGTTTGTATAGATGTTAGTATGATTTTTAATGTACGTGCATGCTTTTTATTGTTATTATGTGCACTTTCACGCTTCTCAATGCATTTTCATAATATACTAACATATTTTTTAATGTATTTACTAGACAATAGCAACCACAGAAGATAAATATCTAGTGTGGGGTGTGACGTGACAGAAGACAAAAATGGGCTATAGTTGACACGAAGGAGGCTAAAGATGATAAGACAACGAGTGAACCAAAGTGGGGTTTAAAAAATATTCTAAGGATAATTAGGGTGCAAATGGCAAAAGCTTAGCAAGTTAGCATAAAACTATAGCACAAAAAAATCGATCAAAAATAGGGAGAGAGATCGTGCCTTGGTCACGTGTGTGGGAAATTAGTGGAGTGGTGCAAGGATTGAGAGCATGATGGATAGGCAAGCAAGCGTTGGAGGATATGAAGGTACTGCAAAGAGTTATAGAAGGTGGTGTTGGCAATTCAAGTGGGAAAATCTCAGTTAGAAGAAAAAAGAAGCAGCAAGGCAATGGAGCCAACTTCTTTGACCCTATAAAAGAATCCTTCATAGGCAAGCTTGAGAGGTTTAAACAATTGTTAAATTGTGGAACCTATTTTTTCTCTATGATGAAAATGCACAATGCATACTTAGCTATGATTTTTTCATTGTGTGAATTTTGAAAATTTTATTGTAATTTTTGGTTACCCTATATTGTCTTTTTAAGATGACAGGATGTTATCCATTGCTGTATTTGAACACCTATTACCCAACAATAACCGCAAGAGCTAGCGCAATAGCATACAATGGAAGAGCAACCTGGAGGTATTGGAGGTTGCTTCTAAGGAAGTTTAGGAGAGAGAAAAGCCAAAGAGGAGGAGATGAGGGGTGGTTACTATTACGCCGGCCCAGGAGGGGCCGGCTGGACCGGTCCAGCCCGGACCGGTCCAGCCCGGACCGGTCCACTGTTACTCCAGGCGGAAAAAACAGAGGGGCAGCGGGATTTAGAGGAGGGCCACGTTGGCTTGGGTGATCTTATGAGGGAAAATTTTGAATGTTGGGGGCTGTTTTAGGAAGTTTATTATTGCCCTTTGTGTTTATTTAGGGGATTGGGAGGAACTGATTCCTCATCTTGAATTTGAATTTGTAATTTGAGATCTAGGTTTTGTTTTGGGCTCTTGGCATCGCTGGAGATTGTGGAGAGTACGTTCTTCCTCTCGAATCGAAGAACAATTGTATCTTGATTATTTTGCTTTAAGTTCTAGTGAAATACAAGCCTCTACTTGAGTTTTTCTCTCCGATTTCCCTATTTCCAGCTGTTTTCCTGCTGTTTTAGTGCTGTGGACAGCAGTTGGCTGCTGAATTTTTACTGGTTTGGGTTAGGAAACTTGTGAATACAAGTATTTTCTATCAATTACCTGAAGAAGAGGTCGGTAAAGTCACATGGAGAACTAAGCAAGAGAAGTTGGAAGCTGCAAGAAAAACTTACGAGTAAAGGATTGCAATAAGGGAGAAGAAGAAAGAGAGATACAACGGAGGCCTTGAGAGCTCAATATTTTATTTAATCCATCAATTTAGTGCCTTAATACAGGACAATTTGGCTTCATTTGAAATAACTTATGCTTTTCCATGCATTTCTCAAAAACTTTAAAAAGCTACTTTCTCAACTATAATTTTTTATTTCTGTTTTCGCAAAAATAGTTTTTTAAAGCATTTTTTGAGGGGAAAAAAGAAACAATTTGTACGACTCTTTCATCCAAAGAGACCTTATTTTTTGCTAACAGCATATCCTACCACAAAAGTAATCCAAAATGAAGCCAAAAACCCCAGTTAATAGAGCTCATAATACATTCTAAAAATGCATTAATTTTTCAAGAAAGAAAATGCAACAACAACATCAAGCCTTTGTCCCACTAGGTGGGGTCGGCTACATGTATATGAAATATTTACAAAAATATTAAAATTAAATCAATAGATGCTTAAATTTTAATATACAAAAGACTATGACAATCATGCTCGTATTGCATCAAGCATTGAATCATCGCCCACTTATAATCAAGTTGCATAATAAACAAATATTAAGCAAAGATGCCATTTTCAAATTGCTCCTAAAATAGCTAGTTTCATTTTAATTTTAGCCCCTCTAACCATGAAGGTATGAAAGTACTGTGGAAGTACATAATATGATTGTACTTCCAATATTGCAACAATTAATGATATTTTAACCTGAAATCACTTTATAAAGTTGGGCTTCAAGTTCTTCCAGCACTAATGTGCCTCCTTTAGAGGCTCCAGCAGTTCAAATTCCTATTCCATCTTGAATTAACTTTAAGCCTGTTGTTATTCCCAATGGGGCATCTTCTCAATTAAAATGATTAACTAGTTTTGAGCCTTCGAATAATACCAGGAGTGGGAATAAGAATAGCTGAAAACTTTAAACAAAAAGGAAGAAAAAAAAGTATAAACTAGTTAGTTATGGGATTGTATGTGCAGAATAAAACTAAAAATGAAAGAGATGCAATTTTAGTGTAGCTTGTATTAATTGGGATGCATTGCTTTTTAATAGTATTATAACCTCTTCACTCAAAGAAGAAAGAAGAAAAATTTTAAAATTATGTGATTGAAAAAGGAAATCAACAATAGGGCTAACCTGAAAAATGAGAAAACATCTTGAACAGTGTCTCCGTATATCCAGTTAGTATCCCAGCGCATATTATCAAGGAAGACCCATGACCTAGAAAGTGAATGAAAGTATCAAATATAAAAGGGGCATTCATTCAATCAATGTAGCACTAGATGAAGAAAGCCCATAACATAGGCAGATAAGGACAGGCTAGAATATATAAGTAGAATAAATGACAATTTTAAAAATAAAAATAAAATAAAATACCAAATCCAGACTCTGAGATAGTGTCAGAAATCCATGTCATGGACATTGCACCAATCACCAACAAGAAGCTTGTGATCACAACGTGCTTGAACCTGGCATCAGATAATGAATACTACGAGAGCTTCCGACAATAGAAATAAATTTATGCATAGAAATGACCATTGAGATAAAAGTTTAATGTTGTTGTTAATGTAATGACCATTCGTAGATAATATACAAGTACTAAACCCATTGCAAAACGATCATAAGAGTGTTAAAAGAATGAACTAGGCTACACTGCTGAAAGCTAAATGTTTCAAAAGGAAATGCACGATTTTCAGTTTTTTTATATTCAAGTTAAGAGAAAAACGAAGATCTTCGTATGATATTTATTAATTTAGAGAAAGCATACGATAAAGTTCCATAAGAAGTGCCATGGAAAGTTCTAAAAAAGAAAGGGATTAATAATGCTTATATTTAAGACATTAGGGATATGTATTTTGCAGTTATTACTTGTGTTCAAACACAAGATGGTTTGACTAAGTATTTTTCAATTTCAGTTGGATTATATCAAGGATCAACCTTAAGCCCATGTCTTTTTTCTTTAGTCATGGATGTTCATACTAGATATTTGCAAGAAGATGTTCACTGGTGTATGCTTTTTGCTAACGATATTCTTCTTGTTGATAAGACTAAAGAGGGAATTGAAGGTAAACTTGAATTATGGAGGTCAAACTCAGAGTCTAAAGATTTTTGTTTGAGTAGATCTAAAATCGAATACATGGAGTGCAATTTAAGTAGTAATTGATCTAGTGGGGGTTTGTGACTTTGAGCGATCAAGCCATTAATAAGAGTACACATTTTAGATATCTTGGGTCTATTGTTCATAATGATGGTGAAATAGATGGGATACTATTAGACTATTAATAGAATTCAAGTTTGATGGATGAAGTGGAGGAATGCATCAGGCTTGTGGTGTAATAGAAAAGTACCACTCAAACTTAAAAAGAAAATTCTATAAAATGGAGATTAGACTTGCAATTTTTATGATATAAAATGTTGGCCATTAAAAGAGAAGCATAATATTAAGTGTTGCAGAGATGATGATCCTCAGGTGGATGAGTGGCTTTACTCTTAGAGACAGGATAAGAAATGAGCATATACGTGAAAAGGTTGGAGTAGCTTCAGTGGCGGATAAGATTAGAGAGATTTGCCTTAGATGGTTTGGTCACATAAAATGACGGCCTTCCAATGACCTGATTAGGAGAGTAGATGTATTAGATTTAACCTATGTTAAAAAAGGTAGAGATAGAGGTAGAGGTAGAGGTAGAGGTAGACCTAAAAAGACTTGGTTAGAAAACATTAGAAATGATCTTTCTTTATTAGATCTAAATGAGAATTCGACTCTTAACCGGACACAATGGAGAAAAAGGATTCATGTAGTCGAGCCCACATAATGGGATAAAGGCTTAATGTTGTTGTTGTTGTTGGGTATAAGTTCAAACTATGTGGCTGAAAACGTTGACTTTCTGCACCATCATGGCAAACCTTTAAAATTTTAATTCAATAACAAATGCAAGGAGCTGCTATTTCATATTTGGCAAATGGAATTTCCTTGAACTACAACACAGCCTGATCAAACAGATAAGTTTGAAAAGTAATTGCTTCAATTGCAATTCTGCTACATGGCCATCCCTAAAGGCTAAGTATGAGCCTGTTTATTTGGTAAAGCCTAAGGAATGAAGGATTTTTTGGATTTACTTCCTGCTTTATGGAGCATTAGATTACACAAATAGCCAAGCATACTGACTAACAGGTTAAGGAACACGTTGACATTTGATAAATTTCTCTACCTTTGGCTCGCAGCATAAATTGAATATTGAAGTGAGTAGCAAGAAACAATAACTGCCTCCAGCACCGCAAACCCTAGTGAAGCCCACCATCTAACATCAATAAGCGAAATCATTTAGTTATCAGTGTGACACAAAGCTAGAATACTTTGTAGTTTTCAGAATCAGATAAGTCTCACTGCTTGAGAACTAAAACTAGACACACATATAGCCTTTGATCTTCTCATGACCATCTAAACCTTCCTTTCGCAGCCTCACAAGTGATGGCAAAATATGGCAAAGAACCTGTAACAATAATAACTAAGTCTTAATACAGAAAGCAAACAGTGCAGAAACAAGACCATATGAGCTAAAGAGATTTTTCCTCCTAATTTAACACGTTCCTGTATTGTTCCCAACTCAAGTATAAGATTGACTGTGATCTATTAAGTGGATAGAGAAAAAAAACAGAAATTCTCCAGAAACTATATTTACCACTGAATAATAAGTATTGCCAACCCCAAGTAGTTGGGATAAAGAACTAATCCTCAGAGTATTTAAAAATTCTAGAAGAGGAGGTATAACATATGACAAATTCATTCTTTGTACTTTTCCGTTCCACAAAAGCAGAAAAAACACAATTGATGGTGCAAAACTGGGAGAGGTAGTGAGAGGGGGTTGCACGGCGATAACAAAGGTAAGACAACATGCATGATGCATGCACCATTTTCTTTTGGGTTTCATTTCAAAGAGTTAAATATTGACAAGAATGCAATTTGAATAGCCATCTAAGTCAAAAGCTCAAAATGGTTAAAAATTGGAGCTTAGAAACCAAGAAACATCTCAGCTTCATGGCACATATTTTAAATTAAACCATGCATAATTCGATTAAAGCATTACTAATATTTATGGATTATCACCCAGTAATCAGTATATTATAAGAACAAAGTTCATTCTCAATTGATTTATGCCGTAAAAAACTTGTTCAATCAAATGAGACTGTAGTAATACTCGTCATATGAACAAGGAGTATAAAGGATCACTCGAAACAAGGTCACAAGTTTGCTATATTTCAATACATAATCCTGCCAATAAGATAAGAATAACATAAATCATTTAAAAAGATAGGAATACTCGAACCTGCATCAAAATGGAGGCTGCAATCTGAGGACTAATCCCCAGCTGGAAAAGTGACAGCTTTAGCTCAGCTGAAAAATCACCAAGTTCATCTGGGAAAAAATGGTGCATGATTTACACCAATTTTGAATATTTTCAGGCATAGATGCTTGAAACACGAGCTAAAAAACATAAAGCCCTAAAGGCTACCAGATATGAACTTGATACAATGTAAACTTCCTTCAGCACAAAGTTCACAGGCATTGAAAATTTTAAAAAATTAAGTTACTAAAAAAAACAATAGATGCTAATCAAAATCACTGTTTGCAATGAAATACTTTCTATAGTTCACCCACCGTGCATCTTAGGGTATGTCTAAGACTGAAAAAGCACACGAAATGTTATTTAACAGATATTCACAAATAAGGCAGCAATTAAATAAACATGCACCACTAACAATATGTTGGTAGAACAAACCAGTTGATCCAGAAGCAAAGCTCATGTAGTCCTGAGGCATCAACCTCCTATCAAATCCAGGCAGAGGGATAAAGTAACCCACCCGACTGACCACAATCAGCAAGGCAGTCACGAACAACCTCCGCCTTATCTCGCTCTTGAAGAAGGAGTCAGCCATATTATCCACCACACTTCCAATCCTAACAAAATTCAAAAATCTGTTTTTGTACTTCCCGGGCGTAGGAGCCAAGGATTCAGCCACAGATTCCTCGTCTCGCACCACAACCGATCTCTTTTCACTGCCTGAACCCACTATGAGCGTCTGGGGATGGGACAGCTCAAAGCCGACTGAATCAGCATTAATAAACTTTCTCGGTGACCGGCTAAAACAATGCACACGGTTCCGGCGGAATAAGTGCTGAAAGGTGGTCGTAGCAAGCGAAATTCTTTGTCTCGGATGATGATGTAATCTAGGATACGATAGGGAAAGGCTTGCCTCCTTGTACAATAAGCGATGACCTGATCCAATAACACAATCAACAGATCAAAATTAGCATTTCCAGCAGTTTTCTCTTCTATTTGTCGTTTTATTTTTTTTTAGAAAACGAGTTTAAGATCTATTAGGGTTTAGGGTTTAAGATCTATTAGGGTTTAGGGGGACAGGCAATTTAGCAATCGAGAACTCACCTCCTCGAAGTGGAAATGGCTTCTGGTGGAATTGAAAGATAGATGTATAGAGGGGGCTTAAAGTGGCCGCGTCCATGGCAAAGCCGAAAGCTCGACGAACTTGGATAGACGAAGAGACGTTTTGGAACGGTGATAACCTCCGGCGGAGTGGAGTAGTAATTTAGCATAACTAAAATCTGCATATAATGTTACTCCGGTCCAGGAATTTTAATTAGGTCCGGACGGACACCTGACGTAGTTTTATATTCGTATGTAAATATCATCGCTCTTACTTTTTAATTTTTATTGTGCGGTCCGACGATTCAATTCGGATCGGAATTCAATATTGTTATGTATTAGCTGATTTGTACAGATCAGTGTATTGCTAGGTTTTGATCAGTATTGCTCGGTAACGAGAAATACCTTTCTGTCAAGATCAATAACTAGCAATACTGAGCAAAACCCCGGTTTTGCTAGATATTGCTCAGTATTGCTCGGTATTGGTTTTGACAGAGCGGTATTTCTTGTTATTATCAAGCAATATCTAGCAATACCGAGCAATACCTAGCAAAACACGAACATAGCAATACCGGATTTTCAGTCCGGGTCGGGTCGTCGGGCCGCGCGGTAAAGAGTAAGAGCACGTGGTGACATTTTATTGGCGTCCGGATGTAGAGCTACGTCAAGTGTCCGGACCTAATAAAAATTCCCGGTCCAGGGTGTGTGAACGAGTACAGTGGAGCCCGAGCCTAGCATGATCAAGCTTGGCTCACATATTTTGTTAAGTGGCTCGAGGTCGAACTCGGCTTTAATTCGAACTCGATTTGAACTCAACTCGAGTTTTAAATTTGAGCTTTAACTCGACTAGTGAACTCGAACCTCAAGCTCGAGCTCGATTAAACCGCTATAGCTCGGCTCGATTGCAAGCTCGATCATAAGGAAATTTTTATTATATGTTGGTTTAAAATTCATGTCATTTTGAATATTAAGTGGATTGCTCCATCCCTCATGGGTGACCACCTAAAAAGTTCTCATATTGTACACCTTTTTTAACCAGAATTCTCATAACTAGCATACTAGTTTCTTACTTTTTTTTTTAATTAAAAAAAAAAAAGTGGATAGCTCCATCTCTCTTTTTATTGGGAAAAAAAAAATCTAAGCATATTCATTGACTAATAACAAAAATTAAATAAGGGATAAAAGTTTTAAATAGCAAAGTTTATGAAATTTTCCTAAAACAAAAGAAACAGCAGGTGATATGACTAACAACTTGTAGTAAAATTCTCAATAGAAAGTATAGAAGTGGGGCACAAATTATCTTTGTTACATCAATATAAAGAGTTTCCCACCTAACATAAAAATATGAAAAATAGAGGGTACACAAACCAATTCCAAAGCAATAAGAAGGAAATTTTGTGCATCACGGCAGAATTTTAATTGTTCAAATAAGAACTACAAAATAATATGAAATGACACGTAACAAGTATCAACGATAGGCATCACAAAATTCTTTCAACAAACATATGTATACAAAACGAAACCGGACAAAAATATATAAATTGAGTCATCAGAAAATTATGAAGTCCGCCAAAAAAAGTTCACTTTTCCAAGCCTCCAAAAATTTTTTATTATGTTTGTTGTCAATTTGCAAATGATAAAAATAAAGGTTATCTCCTTTGCATTAAATCATTTGAATGCAACTTTGATTAGAAAAATATTGAATAAGATGTAATTTATCTTGAAAATGATTTTTATTAGACGTTAATGGTATCTTAATTCTTTCATCCGCCTCCTCTTCCTGCAAAGGATATATATCACAATATGTTATTAATAAAATAATAATTAAAAAAACATTAAAGCATAACAAAACAATGCATTTGTCTTGTCCTTCAATCAATAGAGGGCACAAACCTAATATGACCCGTATATCAAAGCTTGTATCATTTCAACACCCCAATTTAGAGTGATAAGTCTCTCTCTCTCTCTCTCTCTCTCTCTCTCTCTCTCTCTCTCTCTCTCTCTAAATATATAGATTTTGAAACAACTATATTAATAGAAATTCATACAATGTCTACAACCAATCTAAATAATATGAGGTATTTCATTTGATTGTTTTTCTACCATGTAATAACATCGAATGTTCTGCCAGCTGGACAAATATTTAGACCAACTTCTAGATATTTATCTAAATATGACTTTGCAGGTTTCTTACTCATTTTTTTCATATACATAAGTTGTGAAATCATGCCACCCACTATATTTATTGATCCACCTTCTTAACCCCTTCTTGAATTGCTACTTTTCCCTATTGAAGTCACTCTCCCCAATCTAAATGTGTCACGTGCCCCTTTAATTTCTTGGTCAAAATATGTGACATATTCCTCATATAATTCATATAACAATGCACAAACATATAAAACATTTTTTCCACACTTATATATATAAATCATGGGATATGCAAATTATATAACAAGAAATTTCATCCTTGGATCCAAGCAGCACCAAATGCTATCAAAAGATTGCATTTGCCTCGATATTTATCAAAATTGTCTTTTATTTTTATAATCGTGTCTCTAATAAGTTGATCAAGAGATACCGATAACATTTTTTATGTTGCATATTTGAGAGAAAACTAAATTTGAAATAGAATATTTAGTACATGAAATAATGTTTATTACATCATTAAAAAAAACCAAGAACATCACAAACCTTCTCTATATTATTTCATTCATTTTTTGTAGGGCATTTATGATAATATACCTTCCTCTCACTATATGAATAGAATGTCCCCATCAACTTAAGAGGTATAGTAAGCATGTTGTAGGCTGAATTCCTCCGTGTTAGACAATCCATAACTAGTCTTATAGTTTGCAATTACAACTGTTGAACAACATTAGCAAATCAAATTATTTCGTCATCAAACATTTTCTTAGTCAGGCATGAATCTTGAGGCATATTTGAAGTGGAAACTTTCAAAATTAAATTCATGATCATATGAACTCTAATTTAGCATATTTATATTTGAACTGAACGTCTCAACGAGATGAACCCAATGACACCAAAATTGATCAATTAGAAGCTTAAGAATATTAATTGGGTAACAAAATGATATGCAAATATGACATACTTATAATCGAATAAAGCAGCTCGGTGAAATCAATCCAACGAGCTCAATACTACTTAATTCTAACATCATTAAGACACTTAAATGCTTGAAAAAAGCTCTATAATAAAGAGAATCAATATGGGTCGTTGGATTAAGCACTCCAAAATTGTTACAAATCTTCTCCATATTTACAAAGTATGTTACTATAAAAATATATAAATATACATTCTCTCTCTATATGATGGAAGACCTTTATTAAAGAGGCTTGGATCTTGGAGAGATCAAGATGGCTTTAAGGTTTGAAGAATCTCAAAGCTCTACATAGACATCACAGCCGACGAACCCTCATCGTTTAGCCATCACCTTCGGACTTTCACCAGCTGAACATTGTTAGACGTCCACCTAGCTGCCATAAGACCTCCGCAAACCACGGTCCTCAAGGCACTGTTTCCCCAACTATAGTTTCTCTTCAACCTCCATCGCCTTATTATTGTCCCTTCAACCTCTTTTGTTCAACTACAGTCCCATCAACCTCTATCTCCTAACCCATTGACCTCCATCTCCTGACTACGGCCTTTGAACCATCATCACTCGGTTATGATCCCTCTAACCTCAGTCTCCCAACTACTATTCCCCTAACCTATGTAGCCAGTCGGCTACGATCCTTAAACCACCGTCATCCAACTATGATCCTTCCGACATCGATCGCTATCCAACTACGATCCTCCCACCACCGTCACCCGACTATGATCCCTCTGACCACCATTTCATACTATTATGGTCCCACCGACCTCGGTTGCCCATCGACTATTATCCTTCCAATCTCAGTCACCTAACAATAACCACCTTTAAATGACAATGGTCCCTCCGACCTTCGTCATCTACCAACTATGGTCCTTCCGACTTGTCACCCAATACAAGTCCCTTCAACCTTTGTCACCCAACTATTGGCCCTCCAACTTTTGTCATCGGACACTGGTCCCTTTGACCTATGTTGCTTGATTATGGTCCCTCAGACCACAATTACCCACCGACTATGATCCTTTTTATCATTGTTGTCAAACTATAGTCTCATTAACCTTTGTCACTCAACTAAGGTCATTGAACCTCCTTTCTTTCGATCTTTGTCACCTCCTATAGTTCTTTAACCTTAGTTGTCTGATTGTGATTCTTCTGACTTTGATTGCCCTCAAACTATGTTCCTTCAGACCTTCATCATCATTCGATTATGGTCCTTCTGACCTCTATGACCTGCCGACTACGATCCCTTCGACCTTTATCATCTAACAACAGTCCCTCCGACCTTGGTTGTTCTACTACAATCCCTTTGACCTCCATAGCTAGCTTAGTATGGTACTTCTTATTTCTGTCATTCACTGACTATAGTCCCTCCTACCTCTATCGCCTGACTACGATCCCCGACCTTCGTAGCCCCGATTACAATCCTACGGGCCAAAGGAACATGCCAATGTTACCAAGAGAACAACTTTTATGTCATTGGATTCTTCCAACTTCAATTATATAATTTGCTTTATATGATGTATATTAGCTATATTGAGCCAACATGGTCCCCTGAGGATAGGCATTATTTGTAATCAATGATAAACACTAGTGGAATCATTTCAACTAAGTAAGATCCCATAAGTTTTTCCTTTTCAAGGTTTTCTATATAAAAATTATAATGTCCCTTATGATTCTTGCACCCCTCTCTCTTATATGTATATGTATTGGATCTTCGTATAAAACTAAGACGTTAAACTCTCTATTCTTCTACCATTGTGAATGTTCCAACATGTGATAATTTTATTTATGCATGTGACATTTAATTGATTGAATACAAATAAATTGGGTTCCATTACATGAATTAGATATTGGTCACATCTATTAAGAACAAAAAATTTAATAATATAAGTAATGAGAAAATTATAAATGCTTTCAAAACCAAAAGACTAAAAATTTTCTATGAGTTAAGTGATTGGGAAATTATTGCTCTTCTTTTATAGGTGAGAAGGGTATTTTCTAGTTATTAAGAAATATATCATGGGATCTTCTTTTATAGTGATAAAGTGTCAGTGGTTGGTAGATTATAATTGGGCAACAATGTTCAAAAGGATCATA